AACGTGCTGGAAATAATTGTGTAGTTTCAACCCTCGGCCTTTTTAAAAATAAAAAAAGTTCATTAATCAGAAGCTATCGTAATGCACGCCCGTTTATGACTTTAATTTGAAGCAAGTACCATAATTTAATTATCTACACCCATTTCCCAGTAACATTATGATACAAAGTCCACTTAGGCAAGGCATCTTGTTCGTGAGCAGACAATGGTGACTCTGAATTCGCATTGGCATCAGCAAGCATTATTCATTTAATTTAGAATAATAAAAGTCTTTTGTAATAACCTTGACATATATATAGCATCCGAAGAATTTGTTACATCATTCTTCAATTTTTTTTTTCTTCCGGAGACAAGCAATATATCCTTGATCAGGGCACGTGTGCTTTTATATATTTTATATATACCCGATGGTTAACAAATAATACTACCCGAGTTAACAATGAGCTAAAGAAGGTATTTTTCGGGAAAAATAGAATCAGTGGATGTTATAATTGTTTCCTTGGATTTAAAGAATGTCAATCTTGCGGTATCGCTTCGAAGAATCTTAATTAGTCAAGCCGGCTCTCTTGAGAGTATGCTTTCTCTTTTTATTATTTGAAATTGTTTTGTGCAAATATGCAGCTTAATAAATGAACATTTACCATTGATTTCTTCCGGTTTGAAAAGTAATAAAAAGCACCCACTCACCCACCCACGCACACACACGCTCACATGCACAAACCCACATTTAATAATAATGATAATAATGGTGGCTTCTTTAGCGCACATGTCCTTCACGTCGTGACGCTCCTGGCGCTGCCCCGATATTTTTGTTTAAATCATGTCGGAAATAAATCTGCTTTGTACTAGAACTGTTAACGTCGTTGCCTAACATACTAGGCAGGCGCGTACGCGGGATTTTTTACGCAGGTACACAACATTTATAAATCCTGATTCAGGAAAGAATGCAAAGGTGAAAGTAAAAGCGAAAAAAGTGGACACTCTCACATGGCTTCCATGGATGCCGTCTTTGTTCTCTTTTTGCCTTCTTCTTACTCCTTGACCGTTAGGGCATATTTTTTTTTTACAAAACTGTTTAGCCATATATATAGTACATGTGCAAGCACGTATACCCAGGGAAGAGAAGGTAATAGAAAAGGGAAAACAAAAGAATACATAAGGAGAGTGCAGAGAATATGGAGCAAGAAAGACAAAGAAATACATAAGAAATACATAACGGAAGGGCTTTTAGGCACCAAATTACGCATCTATGGACCCGCCTTAGGCCCTTGGTTGAGTCCAGAGGGCAGAGCCCCCGAAAGCTCAAGGACTTTAGGCATTCAATTACGGCCAGATGAGCAAACAGGGGCCCACCTTAGGGCCCTTGGTGGGTTTCAGGGGGTAGAGCCCCCGGGAGCTCATGGAAAAATACTGCCATTTTAGCAATACTTGTAAATCACTGGCATCAAATAAAAAATAACCCATTTTTAAATTGTATTGGGGGGGGGGGGTTACTGCCCCCCCCCCATCAGTACGCCAGTGAAAGAGGCGGAGGTGACGGAAGGGACTACCCCCATAAAGCTGTATGATAAGTCTTATATGTAAACTCCTCACAGGTTTTTGAAGTTTTGTTGTGTTACAAAATTACATTCTTTAGCAAAACTACAGCATAAAAACAAGCAATATACTTTTTTCACGCTTCACTTTTACTTTGCCGATATCTAGTGTGCAGTCCGAAGGGTTGTAAATATTTACTAGGTAAATTTTAGTTTGACTGAGCAGGAAGGGACTTCTTAAAAGAGCAAGCTGAATATTCATTTTTGGAACACTGATCTATTTCTTTAACTTTTAATCTTGTTAACATACAGTGTAATTTGTACTACGTGATACCAACAGAATACATATTTTCTTTAATATTTACTTGTATATTTTTAGGATATTATGCGAAGGAGCGTAGCGACCGAGCGAGAAGATTTTAGCATTTATATCTAAACGCTGTACTCTTGGGCCCACCAGAGCCTTAAAGCGTGTTGCAGTCTTTAGTCAGTATTTGCTATACATTTTGTTGGTGTGCACTTTTTCAAATTATCCATGGGGGACGATCCCCCTCAGAAGACGTGTACCCCGTCCTTCCACCTATCTTGTGTTTTGCTCAAAAAACTATCCACAAAAAAGGACTATGTATGCCCCTTTTGTGAAGCGACCTATCAATATTAATGTTCACATATCAGTCCCTTTTTGGATTGCCCTCCTCCCGTCCCCCCCCCCCCCAAGAAAAAATATTATCACATTGTGCACACGTGTGCACAATATATATTGATGTGTCAACCTTACGAAAGTGGTGTTTTCTTAATGATTATTGACCTCCTTTAAATTTATATTTATATGGAAGACTTAAGAAAACAACTGTTTACAGTCCAACTAAGGGTGTAGAGCATGCCGTGTAGACTAAAATGTACAATGTTGTTCAGTTTCTGAATTCTTTGTTTAAAAAACTTGCTTGCTGTCAATAGTGTATACATTTTTTATACGTTTCAAATGTCTAGTCCGGTTAAAAATAGCACGTAATGATTTCATTATTTTACACGTACTTCACATTGATTTATCTTATCGATAAGCGAAACGATTTGCTTTAGTATCATATAACAAATATAACAGTAACGACAAGTATGGTTTTCCTGAAAATTGCATTATACAATGTATATTCATCGTTATGGAAAATTTTGTATAATATACAACAATGGGCATTAACATTTTCCAGACCATTGATTTAATTACGTTTAATATTGAAACTGTTGCCCTTTGTATATACATGAACTTGAAATAATAAGTAGCCTTGAAAAAGTCGCAATAAATCATGTGTGAGTGAGCTTGAAGTTTAATGGTGTAGGTTTGTTTGAAACTGTATAGCCTTTACTCTGTTTTTAATGAGATATATCTTCAATCAAATCAAATCAAACTGAGTGATGTTATCGTACAACTAAACAATATCAATCTTCTGTTCTCCTAAATAAGCCTAGGAAACTTGAAAATTGCATTACAATGTGAATTCATTGTCAGTGAAAATGTAATACAATACACAACAATGGGAAAATAATTGTTTCCTGACCAATGATTTAAGTAAGAAGAACTTACATTTTATATTGAAACTGTTGCCGTTGTATATACATCAGGCGCGGATCCAGGATTTCTTAGGGGGGGGGGGGGGAGGGCAAAATTTGAAATTATGCGAGCCAAATATTGGTTTGTAATGGTGACCAGCAGTGACGTAATTGGGGGTGGGTGGGTGCAGGGAGGGGCGAGTTTCCCCCTCCCTCCGCGAAACGCGGAAGCTTTGACATTTCAATAAATTATTAGGGAAAGAAGACGATTTGTTGTACGTTCCCAAAAAATAATCCTCGTCTGAATTGAGTTTCCCCCTCCCGCGCTAAGCGGAAGCTTACGATTCATTAAATCATTAGAGAAAGAAGACGATTTGTTGTGTCGTTTTCCCTCTTTTTTCTTTTCTTCTTCCTCTTTCTTCCTTTCTTGTATCTCCTATTTTCCTTTTTTCTTTCCCTTTCCTTCCTTCTCTTTTATTTTTGAGTGGGAGGGGGGGGGGGGGGGGCAACAGCCTGGGAGGCAAGTCCTTTTGCCCCCCCCCCCCTCCGATCTACTTCTTCCCTCTTTTCTTTTTTTTCTTCCTCTTCTTTTTTTTCCTTTCTCTCCTCTTTCCCTTTCCCTTCTTTCCTTCTCTCTCTCTCTTTTTTTTTTTTTTTTTTTTTTTTGCGGGGGGGGGGGGGGGGGGCCAAAGCCCGCTCGCCCCCCTGGATCCGCGCCTGATGGACACATTCTTAATGTCGCTATTATCATTAATATCCTACATAATAATATTATTAAATCTATTTTTTTTTTTTAAATAAAGTTAATACGCTGGATTTATATATACGATCACAAAGCTGAATATATTACATACCGGGTACCCATATAACACCTAGTAGAGGGCGGGGCACTGTACAGGATGTCTTACTGTATACGTCATAAATGCCGTGTGGGGGATCGAACCCGCGACCTTCGCATCTCCGAACAAGGACTTGAACCACTCGTCTACGACACCAGGGCAGCGTTTCATGAAACCGTCATAACCACAATTTCACCGACATCCCATTGAAACGTGTGTTAAACTTAATACACGCATTTCAACGGGATGTCGTTGGACTTGTACTTATGACGGTGTCGTGAGACGCAGCCTAGTACTTTTAGTTTTGTTGGGATTTGTCTGGTAGCCTTTGACATTTCTAAACTCTTAAAGGTAATACAAAGTTTTGGGAAATTCTGAAAATTGGCTGGATAGTGATTCTTTACAATTTTATATATATGGATGTCTCTGTGTATGTTTTAGAAGCACTAGAAAATTTAGCCCCTAAAACACTTCTGCTTTCGAGAAAAATTGAATATAAAAATTTACCGGTGCTCCCGGTAAATTCTAATAAATTTCAAATAGCTCCTACGGCCATACAATGGTAGTTGCGATCATGAAAATCTCAGAATATGTAGTTGTGATATATAATTACCAAACGGGAATAGCCAATCGGTCAGTTTTAGTCAAGAAACATTGTGTTATAGCAAAATTAATACCTTGACCTTGAGAGAGAGCTATGTAACATGAAGAGTTGATTATTTACAATTTCATCACTTTAGACTCGATTTCAACCGCGACAATGATCACTGAATATTATATGATCGCATATGTTTCCAAAATGTTCATTTGAACCAAATTCATGACCCCATACCAGAACTTTGTATTACCTTTAAATGTTCATGTTCTTACTTCAACAGGAAACATCTACCCGCAGTTGTTTAAAAGCAAGTCGATTCTTTGCAACATGGCAGCCTCTGTATGCATCATCAGCTGCACATGCTCTATGTGGAGCATCTGTTCCATTAGCATCAACAGATACATATGCATCACTAAGGTAACTATGGCAACGATGGAAGGATCAAAGCAGGCGAATGGAATTGAAAGATGGTGGAAAGAGTGTATGTTATGGATGTTGCACACGAGATGTAAGTTATTCCATTGCGCTAATAAAGCATTTTATGATGGTAATATTATTATACTGTATTCGCCAGTTATTCAACGGTTTATTTGCTCTGGAAACTGTGCATTGCTGCATTAATTATGACATACGTCAACAAATTATGTCTCGTTTGCAAAGGGCATTAAGCGGATGAAATGAGGAATTTAAATATATGACGTGGGAAGTTATTGAAACATTAACTGTTACCACTTTTTGTTAAACCTGACTTATAAGAAAGCATACGTATACTAAAGTAAGCAACAATGGACCGACGCGACGCGTCCATCGGAGAGGACTTAATTAAAGGCCTTTAAGTCCTCTCCGATGGAGTTGATAATAAGGATAAATGCCTTACCAAAGGACACGAGCGTATTAGTTTGGTATCGAACCCGGGACCTTCCGTTTTCAAGATCACTGCTCTCTCTGAGTCATCGCCCCTCCTCAAGTTCAGATACCATGATTACGGGAAGCGGAAATAATGGCAATATGAGCAATGGAAAAAAGCAAAACACCACAAAACTTATTGATAAGCATAGATAACATTCACTTAGAGCTAGATACCACATTATTTACCTCACCATTTAAGGAACAGGGGTATTGACATTGCTTAAAGGAAAGTAGAAATGAATTTGGAAATATTCAATGAAGGATTTTTCAACTTTTTATTGCTGCAGTAGTATATTTTGAGCGATGATAATCCATTTTCTTTCGTTTACGAGAAAAATTCAATCTAATAACTTAAGTAGGGTATTTTGGGCACTCGAGCCCATTATCCTTCCTCCCGAGGGGCGCAAACCATGCCTGCTTGCTAAAATCACGGAGCAATATTATTGGCAGCTTATTATTTTTGTCAGTCTTTATCGATCACGTGATACTGTAACTCTACTCTGTCATTAGATCTCGAGACAAGTGTTTGATACCCTTTCATATTTACAAGGCGTGTTTGATATCTTACCACTTCTACTTCTTCTCATTATTGGTGCATTAAGAATGGCCCCTGAGATCTGACACTGAATTATTATTAGGGGAATCCAGCGTCCATAACCTCTATCAAGCATCTATTGTATTAAATGTGTGTCTGTGCGTGTGCGCGAGTGTCTGTATGTGAGTGATTGTGTGGGTTAGGGTTTCTGTAAAGGTGAGTGATGGTGTTGTGGATTTTTTTTATGTGTGTGTGCGTGTGCGTGTGTGTATGTGGGTGTATGTGGGTGGATGAGGGGCGGGGTGCGTTCTGCAAGGTCAAATGGATCGATAGTCTGCTTAGACTAAATCTTTAAAACTGTCATGGTGAACTTAATTGGTGGTGACGGGTTAGGGTTGGGTTAATGGGAAGCTTTAAGCAATGCGTGGGTGTGTGGGTGAGTGCGTGTGTATTTGTGTAAATGATTATGTTAGGTCATTACCAGAAAATATTTAAAACCTTTCATAAACAGAAAGATTTTCCATTAATCCATTGTTTGCTACATTATCCAAAGGTTAACATTTCTTGTTAAAAGTGTGATATCATGTTTTACGCTTCACGATAATTTTTGTTGAAACATCTTAAATAAATAAATACAAAAAATCACCCCGCCCCTCTCTCTTTTCTCTCTTTTCCGATCCATCTGCCTCTCACCTCATCGTCTAGTCCAAATATTACGGAACCATCTACACTCGACGGAACACCCTCCTCATGACGGCTAGTCTTTGGATCCTATGCGCTTTCATCGATTTACCCAACTATATCGGGCTCGGCGCACACATTTTTGATGTCAAGAAAATGGGATGCTCATTCGACCGACTGGGGCACTACGGCTACACGTTTTACTTCATCGGGATGGGCGTGGTGATTCCTCTCTGTCTTGTTCTTTTCTGTTACATCCGGGTATTCATATTCGTCAGAGAGAGCGAAAGAAGGGTACAAACATATTAAATATTCGATTCCTCTTGATACATTTCAGACCAATACAAAAGCTTGTAAAATTAATCTGAATCTGAATCTGAATGATGATAAAAGATCTACATCAGTAAACACTCCAAATTTTTCAAGTATAGAAAATAGTTTTAAGAAATATGAAAAGGTATATATATATATATATATATATGTAGTACGAACTTTAACGTTACACTTCACTTGACAAAACTCCCATTAAAAAGCCTTTCAATTAATTGTTTATAGCATTACATGAAATGTCTTAAAATGACTCTTTTATTCGTTGGGGGCATTGTATACAGTCTATATTTCACGAGGATGCTATATAGGGAAAATAAGTTGGAAGATTTCTGTTTAGGAGAAATGGCAAATATAATAATTAATACTGAACATGCACAGGAAAGGTCCGTTGCAATCTTTAGGTACATACCCATGATTTTTGATGAATGGATTTGATCATGGGCATGGCCTATAGCGCGAGGTTTAGAAAATCTGCGTCGATTTGGAATACTAACCAGGCAATATTTAAGTGACACACCAATGAGGGCGCATAATTAGGCTCCTCTTTTTACCCCGCAATTAAAATTCCTTTGAAATGCAATTATCTAGTTTTAAGAGCGAAGAAGGCACATCAAAAAACAAAATTCTAGAAAGGAAAATAATATATCGTTATCAAGCAGGTCAAAAAAAAGAAATGCTGTGTTTCTCTGTTGCTGCGTTGACGCAATAATCTTAGACAAATTATATCATTGCAAAATATTTTTCTTTTCAACCTGAATCGATATGAAAGAACTATTGATATAACGTCCAACAAAAATTCGAATGATCTTGCTTGAAAGCCTTTAGGTTAAAATGAAATAGATCCTTTCATGGTAACGTAAAAGATTTACTCCACTAGAAGCTATTAAACCGAATCGCTATTTATAGGCTTTATAATATACCGGGAATTATATCAGTCTGGTATTTCTTGTAACCTATCATTGTTCTATTATGTATAGGCATTCAGATTGAAGGTTTCCTTTTCAAATGATCTAGCTAATATAGCGTCAATTTGCCTGAATTCTTCATCTTTTTAATATCAAACTACTGGATTTCATGTTTTCCACCGTATTATACCGGAATATACGACGTAGAGGCCAAGTAAACCTTGAATTTTAAACTGGCAATCTCATCCAAGGATCGAATTGTCGACACGGCCTCAAAGAAGCTGATTTCCGTTTCATATCGAAGCCAAAAGGTCAAGGTTGAGAATTGCATCTTTTTATTCAGATATACATTAATTCTTTTCAAAGCCCAGTTCATGTAGGACAATACTCCCAGGGTGATTAGTATCTTTATTTCATGATTCCTTGTATTCATTGCATTAAATCGTAATCGTCATTACGGGGGTACAAACGCGACTGATTTGCTTGGTCATGAAGGTCATATTAGAAGTCTTTAAATAAAGCATATTTTATTGGGAAATGTGATTTATATTTAGCATTTTCTGTCCGGTTGAAAATGTTAAGCAACCTTCAATGATAACAATTTCAAAATGGGCTGATTATTGAAGAGATAAATGACAATAACAAAGTTTTTCAGATGTGTCCTTCGTTCAATTTTTTTTCATCTTCTAGTAGTTGCCCAATCTATCTCACTCTATCTCCCATTTCGATTAACACCCCAACCACTTCATGATCAGAAAACTGTCTTTCTTGATGTCTATCTACCATCGTGGTCAGGGTCAGCTGGAAGAACAGGAGAACACATGTAAGGGACAGGAACATATTTAGGGTACAAGAAGCAGTAAGAATGGTGGCACAAGTCAAGAAAAGAAAGATCACAAAGTATGGTCACTGGAAAAGAAGAGAGAAAAGTGTTGAACTAGCAACCAAGGCGAACTTGGAGGGAAGTGCCGAGTTGATAGACGTCCTGTGGGATGGATAGACAATACGTTATCAACAAAATGATTGGGAAGGTACAATGAGGTAATGCGTTAGAGAGAAGTCGACGGCCCGGAGAGAATAGGGACTTTTAGATTTGCGCGTCGACAGCTTTGACTGCAACGTGTGACGTCATTTTAAGGCACTGCGCATGCGTCACGTCGTCTCGGTCGGCGATCGAGAATGCGTCAAACTTGATTTTCCTAAATCTAGTACAACATACATAGCGCCTTTACATGCTCAAGGTACTAGTATGCCGCGTGCGCATAAAATATACAGTTCCTCGGGTAGACAAAGGAACATCCCTTCCCTGCTATTATGTAAAAATGTGTAGAACAGGTGTCACATGCATATTCACCTGTTCTACACATTTTTACATAATAGCAGTGAAGGGATGTTCTTTTATTGAGGGTAGAATGAGGAACTGTATATCTTGTCCTCTTTCTTTGTCCGTGATGTTCATAGTGTTACTTCCTGCATGCATGTATATCGTCGAGTGCAATCTAAAAGATTTCTAATTGTAGTCAACATGGGCAGTTCAGTACGTTGACACGCATGATCAGTCGGCGTTCGTCGTGTTCTCGTCCACTCAATCTAAAAGTCCCTACTAACATAGACAGATACCCTCATGGTAGAACTGTGGTAAATTGGTGAAGACTCTTACTTGTGGTGTTTTGCCCACATTAATGTTACTCTCGTTTCAGGTGTATAAACGAGGTACCCGACATTGCTAGGTAATGATAATTTCAATTATCTAAAGGGAAAGGGTAGTATCAATACTAATTAAGAATCCGGCCGGTTTTTATTTTATTTCGCAATCGCGATCTCTCCCATCCTCTATTTGTGGTAAGCCGTAGACGGCGATCTACGAATCCATACGATCGGCCTAAAAGGGCATACAAATTTGGGGATCATGCAATATTCGGCATGCAGAAAGTAGGGAGAGGTAGCGTTGGTGGAGATTCTCAGACGTGCATACAAAATTTGAATTATCAACATCATCATCATTATCTCATAATTAGATTCATAGCTGGCAAACACAGGGCGACCAGGCTGCTCGAAGCCAGATGCCCCGGGTGTCGAAGGCCGACCGTCGTCTCATGATCACCGTCTTCATCATCTTCATCGTTTTCTTGACCTGCTGGACGCCGTACGTCATCATCGTCCTCACCGACGTCAACAACGTGTATCCGAAAGAGCTCTACGTCGGGGCCGTCATCATGGCTCACCTGAACTCTAGTCTTAACAGCATTCTCTACGGGATTACAAACCGAAGGGTAAAAGTGTTTTTCTCTCAAACGGTAGTGAAAGTAGTGGTTGGTGCTGGTGGAGTTGGAGGTGGTGGTGGTGTTGGTGGTGGTGGTGGTGGTGGTGGTGGTGCCGATGCTGGCGATGGTGGTAGTGGTCCCGATGTCGGTGCTGATGACACGGATAATGATGGTGGTCATGGTGGTGGTGCTGCCATGATGATGGTGCCGAAGATGGTGGTTGTGATGACGATGGTGACGATGGTGGTAGTGGTGACGATGGTGGTGGTTGTAATTGTGATGTTGGCGAAGGTAGTGTTGGGATGCTCACTGTGCTGGTGGTGCTGATGTTAGTGGTAGGGGTTCTGATGGTGACGGAGCCGAAGTTGATTTTGGTAATGATGGTGGTGATGGGGACAGCGGTTGAGATGGGGGTTGTGATGATGATGGTGTTGGTGATGGGTGCTGCTGGTGGCGTTAGAGGTGCCCAATGCTGCCGATGGTGCATCTTTCCGCTGTTGCTGTCTTTGGTTTGGGTGACGACTATTATGTCTCTGCACATGTGTCTAATGAGTACTTTATATTTTACACTTTTTCCATCGCAGTTCCGAGAAGGATACAAACGCTTACTCCTCATCCGTCGCTGCGGCTGTGGCATCTCTGTAAACAATACCAACAACTCCACAACGGAGTCGGCGGATCCTGACGTCGGCAAATCAAGGGCATGCGAAGAGAGTCAGATTACCTAGCTTCATTTCGCCATGACACCGACGAACAAGGAAACCATGGGCGTCAATCCTTACGTAATACCTATTGTTCAGGGGGTGAATGAATAGATCACCCCCCCCCCCTGAACAATAGGTATCAATGACAGATTTACGCCCATGAATGAAACCCAGGGTCTAATCTGTCTTTGAGCAAGACATTATTATCTATATTTCTCTGAATGTGGAATGTAATGTGCAGAATAGTTTTTAAATTGAGGGACAGGGATAATAACAATCGGTATCACTGTAAGTGCAATGCGGGTCAGCTAATGTATACTGGGTGGAGCGTTCTATATATATATATATATATATATATAAAAAAATAAAAAAAGAATTTATTTTCGGAAAATCAACTCTAGTTTTTTTTTTAATAACCTTTTGTATATCCAATATAAATCATGTTCTGGTTACCTAATACATGTACGTACCCAGAACACCAGTCATTGTCATGTTTGTACCAGGTGTCTTCTTTTCGCGTCCTTTTCCCAGTCGTTATTTTCCACTTCTCCCTTTCATTTCCCTCTTTTCTCGTTTTATTTAAAACACTTGATGGGTGCCTCATGTAGCTATGCCGCTGGATGGAGTCATTCACAACGCAACGACTATATAAAGTTTGTTAATTGTAGGTTTTGTAAATACCCATCAGGTCCCGGGATTCAATACAAAATACTTGTTCTCACCTTCAAATGCGTCCATGGTCTGGCTCCTCCCTATACCTGTCTGAACTCATAACCATCAGGCAACCATCCCGGTACTCCCTTTGCTCCGCTCAAGGCATCACGCTAAACCATCCATCTTCCAAGATGCTACCCACACTTGGTGACAGAGCATTCACAAACCGTGAAATAACAAACCCAGATGTCTTCACAACCAACAATCTCTCAATACCTTAAACAAAATATATCTCAAAACTTACCTCTTCTGTTAATATAATTGTAAAGCGCATTTCTAAGATTTGTATGGAAAATTAATGCGCTATATAGATACGTTATTATTATTATTATATGTATACAATTATATACCAAGCCTTAATGTACATAGTGTAAATTAAAATGTTAAAGAGAAGGTTCATTGATTAAAAAAACTAACTTTAATGTCATCATTGCAAAGGTGACACTTTGATTGGCCAAGGTTATCAAAAGCCAGTGCTTGGAAACATTCGAAGTAATGATTATTAACAATTACAAAATGCTTAGATACAGCCCCGACATAGCACCTGAAAAGCTCCCCGGTCGCTGCTGAGATATGACGTCACATGTTGAACATGATTTGCACAAGCAGACGATGTCCCATGACATCTCACACAATTTCAGTGCCTGTTTTGTTATCTTTTCTTCAGTTATTTCTCTTACTTCAATACCTTCAGGCAAAATGTTTAATCTATTGCCTCACTCTTAACCCCGTGCATGGTATTATTTTGATGAAAAAATGCAAGGATTAAAAAAAAAAGGAATCCGTCGCTTGTAAACAAAATAAGACGCCATTGTATTTTCAGCTGCATACACCGCGGCAGGTTCGGCGTTTCAAGAGGGAACAATAATGACGTCCAGCTATCATTCCGGAGGTTTTTTAATTTGAAAGTGTGGTTTCTTTGATCGTTCATTAACCCATATCCTGTGTATTTACAAACAAAAGAATTTAGTTATCAGAATGGGGGTCATATCCCTTTTTGAATGGTGTAAAATTCCATCACATTTATATACACTAAACTCATTATAATTTGAGAAATATAAGCATTGCAATTATGTTCATTCTTTATGGGATGTCGTCTGCTTGGGCAGGGTTGGTTCATATTGTGACGGCATGAAAACTTTTTTTTCCGGCGAATCTCTCGCATATCCCAGATGCTATGGAGGTTGTTTTATTTGTATTTTTATAAACCACCCGATATGTAGTTGACCTAAAACTTGCTTAATAGTCATCTAATAGCTTACCAGTTTCTAGTAATACGCTATTTGCCGTATTTGTGATTTTCTATGAACCCGCACTTTAACGTTGAGTTCATGTATAGACCGCGTGCACAAGCAGTTTTGAACTTTTTATGTATAAAAACAGTTTATTGTTAAGCATTTTTCTCGTAATAAGACAACTTGTAGGCCCGTTTATATAGCGCCCCGTGCAGAGCATAAGGGATGCTGTTCTTATTAGTCTATGAACAAAATTAAGAATTTGTTTTTTTAGATGTTTTTCAAAACGTGTGGAGATTTTTTCAGAAGTAGGCCTAAAGTGTTGTTTTGTTTCTCTTTTGATGCTTTTTAATAGGGAAGTATTTCAAAGCCGATTATAAAGGATGATTAAGTTCTGTTTTCATGCAACTTATTCTAAAATATCATTGTACAGATAATATGTTAACGAATATTGTGCCTTGCATGTTGGGAAAAGAAAAAACTCATGTCAAATGACTAAAGCTTATCATTTATAGAAATGAAGAAATAAAATAACATGATAACAGACGTTTAATCAATTACGATTTTGTTTTACCTAGTTTTAATATTGACATGGGTAAAATTATCACAGTTTGTTTATCTTATAATTTACCGTCCATTAAATTATTTAAATCAATTTACCATTCCAATTTTTTTTTTGATAATTCGTATTGTTCAGATTTCTTTTTCTGCAGAACATTATAACTGAGGTCATATACGACCATTATAATCTTGATCATATTTTAAGGAAATTGTCTGTGAAAATGTAAAATAGAGATTATGATGTATTTATATATGTATATATTTGCATTTTTGTGTCGGCCTACTCATTCCTAATTTATTTGAACTATCGGTATATTAACGATAATATAACACCAAGATTTATCAGACACATTGATTGTTTTGTTGTAATATTATGGAATGTTAAACTGTCGTGTTGATTATTTTTAATGAATTTGCATGGTCAATTACCTTGTCTTACATCATTATTAAAAGCCTTAATCTTGTTAATAATTTGGCCGAGTGTAATGTCTTTTTATTTTGTATCGTTTTAAATGAAATCATGCACTTTCCCCGCCAGGAACTGCGCTGGGCTATATTAAGAAAATGCCGTAATCTGTCGATACAGCCTATATTCTCAGAATAGATTAGGAAAACATTTTGTCTTTTGTTTTCATAATCTAGTTTTCTTATTGTTTGTTTTGGATTGATTTTATTTTTCCTCACCAATCGTTTATTGGTCATCGGAAAGGAACGTCCAATTTATAGGGGTGTGTTCAGGGTAAGGGTTATGTGGTGGACGTCTCATCTACTTTCGTCGTGGGGGGGGGGGTGTAATCCTACTGAAGCGGTTGCTCCTTGTTTATTTAATTGTTCATTTTGTTAGTAGTCGAAGAGTATATGTATAAAACAACTGCAATATATAACTTGATCCAATTATTATTGTTTTCTTATTTTTATTCATTTTATGTTTTTAAAATTATTTGTTGTTGTTGCTTGTTGGAAGAAGTTTACTAATCCTTTGATTGACGAATCCTTTAAATGACGAATATTTTTTATTTTTTTTTAAATTGGTGGACTTTAAAATCTTCGCCCACTCTTTCCAATTTCGCATGGAAGATATTGATCAGAATTGGTTTGGACAGGGCTTGTGCCGTCTGATGCCTCCAAACCCATATTTTTTGTAATGGTCATTTTGGCAGAAAGAGTAAACCGGTTATTAGACTTTGGATGAAAAAGGGACTGTTTCATTTATTGCTGCATAAGGGATTCGCACTTTATCAAGGATATGGGTGAGAACTTAAGTATTATCCTGACGGATGAAATTAGTGACCCATGGTTAAGGCTTCAAAAATTATGATCAAAGTTTGGGCAATGTTTAGAGATTTACAAAAACATACACAACTAGCATTATATACCATATGTTGAAGTAGCCCCCCCCCCCCCCCCCCCCCCCCCCCCCCCCACTCCCACGTATACGAACACTAAAATAAAGATGATAAAGTTGCCCAAATGGCTTGTCATACACTCAAAACTGTCGACGCGACGCGCGCTGCCTCGGATGCTCGCGGTTCAAAAGACGATCCTCATCACTCACAAAACGTAAGTTTTTAGTTTTTACGAATTATTCCAGCCTTGAAACAGAAATCGGTTCATCTCATGAAAATTAGTTAGGCTTTTCTGAAAAACACAACATAAAATAAAAACATTAATATTTATTTTTAAGCGAGATTTCAGTTGCAATGTCTACAAGTTTATAGCGAAAGCGAACTCATGAACTGTGCTGTGCTTTCGAACGCCGCGCCCCACCCATTCGAAAGCGAAGTAGCAGAGAGAGACGAAATTTTACCCGGCTTCGTCGGGGTGACAATGGACGATTACGCTCGTCGTGGAGGCTGCCCCATTCAGCCATCGCACACAATTGAGGCTTGACCTTGGGCTTTAGCTCAGCTCAGTAGATCTGTATTGATTGATTTATTGATTTATTGATATTTGTTTGGTTTGATCTTTATTAGTATCACACTAGCCTTAAGGGCTTGGTGATAATATTTGTATGATATTGAATTTCGAAATAGACCTAGGTCTAGGCCTAGAGACAAGAAGGGAGTAGATTCTAATCGACCATCTCCAGTTTTTGGCGGATCCGTTGGATGCATGGTAAAATCCCTTTAAAATACATCGCATAATAGCATATCACATATCCCACACATACCATACCATGCCAGGGTCACTGAAGAATCACATTTGCAATGGAAAATATATCCTAAATGTCACATTTTAGCGATGTAATCGGCGGTCCCGCTACCCGAATCTGAAAAATTGAGTATCTTACGCGTGTCTGTAAGAAATATGGGTACCATAAAATGAGCTTTATTTCAAGTATTTTTCAGATTTATAGCCCGATTTTGTGCTAGTCGCAAGCTCAAAAGTATCTCATCGCATGTATTAAATCAGTGCAGCTGGACACCGCAACGCACACAGAATATCTCTGTCTAATTCAGATTCCAATTTCTGATCAACGCAGAGCTAGTTTTCGACCTGGCAAGCACCTGGGAGCTCCGACGTTGGATACCTGCTCCGCTCGCTAGTGTTATAGATCAGCGCGGAAACGAATGGGGAAGTTGTGTGTCTGCAATGCATGGACGCTTAAAAAGAAAGCCTTCACTTTTGCCTTTGGATTTATACAAAATAGACTTACATGTATACATCAAATTGAAAGAGCACTTACCTTCGTAGATATTTATCCTTAGGCTTTATAATAATGTCTAACATACATGTATGTAAGCCTGCAAAGACTTATGCAATACTGCACGTAAACTTCTTCAAATTACCATGTTAAATATAAACTGGACACAAATCATCTAGGTATAGGCCTACTGTTGTTCATGAGTCATATTTCTTCCTCTCCAACAAGGTCGGTGTAGTGTACTGGTAAGCCAAGATGGCGTTTCATAGCCTGAGGATCGGCAGGTATATGACCCCATGCCTCGGCAACATGCTGATGAAGAATCGACCTCTGACATTTGCATACACGAAGAGAACCCTTCGCCTACACCAACACGACACCCAGGAAGAACCAGAAAAGATACCAGATAAGGATAAAGTGAAGGTTAGTAGACTTCATTTTAAAGGGAGTGTATCATGGGAAATACTGGTTAAATCCATCTACATCTTCTTTTGGACAACTGCACATAAACGAATGGACTTGATTAACTATATTATTATACCCAATTGGCCCCTGAGTAGGGCCACGGGAAAGACACATAGTCTCGTCATGATACACTCCCTTTAAAATAAAGGCTTGCATTCAGATCATAAAGACCGAAGGCAGACTATTTTAAACCTGAGTTACATTTAACGTAGTCCACTGATTTTTCAACACCTAAGTGCCAATATCTTTATTTCACAAATAACCGTAGTTTTGTTACAGAGTAGTTTAATTAATTCAAAGAAAGAGATTTCATGACAACATAATTGTGTTTATTCATTTTGTTACAGAATTCAGGTAAATTTAGAGGCTTGATGTGTTGTTCATTACTGGTAGGCATGTACATGTGAGGAAGTTATTCAATTTGTGAATATTTAGCAGGAGTTGGTAAATAAAATAAAATAATGACATGTTTTTATTATCAACTGCTGTCTAAAATACGCTTTGCCTGAGGAAGAGTGATAAAGTCAAGCTATGTTTCTCTTTTTGTCACAGGGTCTTGTGTATGTCTCCACATCAACAGATGTTCATGCAAATCTAGCTCTTGAAGATTGGTAAGTTAGTAACCAGGAGTACTCACTAAGATAGAGGGGGAGAGTGTAATGATATAAGAAGAGAGAGAGAGAGGGGGGGGGGGAATATTCAAAAGAAGAGTTCAAAAGTTATTTTTTCAGGTTGACAGTACACAAAGGATGCATGCGAATGAGTTCACTATACGATCGATCTGCACGCACGGTTAGGCTGTATGCATCTATCATACAAAGCCATCAGGCTGAGTACAATAGGTGCATAAACAGACTCAACAAGAGTGGATAGGTCGTTTAATGAACAATTTAGATCACCCATCATTTGTTTTATACGACAAAACTCGAGATCCTAGTTATTTGATGTAAAAAGAATTCATTTCAAGATTGTTTTGTGTCATCGCTAAAAAAACAAATCCCAAGTTAAATAGGCTTACCGGTACTTACGTTCATACCCAGAGATAACCACACTTACATGAAAAGTACCTCTATACATGATACCTAAATCTCCATGTATAAAGCCTCTGTCACAAATGCCATTACGAACGCCGTACGAACGATTTTCAGACAATGGAAATTCGGGAAGACAATTGAAAAACGGATATTCGTACGAAATTATCGTTCATACAAACCTTTGTGACCGTAGCATTAGACACACCCCTATTTTTAGGACCAAGACAAAAAACAAAAAATATGTTATAATTCTTGAATATCTTCTCGGGGAGAATTTAACCTTATTTTTGTGTGGGGTGTTGCACACTGGCAAGAACACAAGTAACGTTTGCTCTTCACTTTGACCAGGATATATAACAACACAGACCTGTCTGACACATCGCTGATGATGCTATGGAGGAATGACCCTTGCGTGGTCATTGGACGACATCAGAACCCCTGGGCAGAGGTCAACCTACGTCTGCTGTGGAGTTCAAAGGTCAAACTAGCTAGGAGAAGAAGTGGGGGAGGCACGGTATACCACGTAAGTAAAAGACATTTTTACAGCACAACTTATTAACTATTGCAAGTGAATCAGGGCCCTGTTTCATAAAACATGTCATCAATAACAAATGCTAAATTTCTATGAAAAGAATTGCTTTCAGCCAATCAATTGCCACACTTTCAGTAGCTCATAACAGTTATCGTTAATTTTTATTGATAACAATTTTTTTATGAAATAGGGCCCTGGAATTGAGCAAAGCCAGAAAAATTTTGCATGCATGAAAACAAAAGTAATGTTTGTGAATTTTGAGAGACAAGGCTCTTGTGACAGCAGTTTAAAAAAATATATATATATATATATGACTGCAGACTCATATAACGCTTTAATATTTGTTCTTTTCCCCATCTGAGATTGGGGTAATAATACTCTATGTTATGTGTTTGGTCAGCTACTCTTCTGGTAGGGTGTGATAAAAAAGACTATTATCATCGTTACTCCTTTGCAGGACTTGGGAAACCTGAACGTCTCTTTCTTCTCAACACGAGAGCGGTACGACAGAACCAGGAACCTTAATCTTATCTCTCGGGCCTTGAAGAGGAACTGGCCTCGTCTGTCTGTGTCGGTCAACGAGAGAGATGACATCATTGTGGACAACTTCTTCAAGATATCCTTTTAAAGATGACACTTGAGAATGAGGATGATGCTGAAGATGTTGATGAGGATGATGATGAGAATGATGTTGATGAGGATGATGATGAGAATGATGTTGATGAGGATGATGCTGAAGATGTTGATGAGGATGATGATGAGAATGATGTTGATGAGGATGATGATGAGAATGATGTTGATGAGGATGATGATGAGAATGATGTTGATGAGGATGATGATGAGAATGATGTTGATGAGGATGATGATGAGAATGATGTTGATGAGGATGATGATGAGAATGATGTTGATGAGGATGATGATGAGAATGATGTTGATGAGGATGATGATGAGAATGATGTTGATGAGGTTGATGATGAAAATGATGTTGATGAGGATGATGATGAGAATGATGTTGATGAGGTTGATGATGAAAATGATGTTGATGATAGTGATTATGATAATAAAGAAGAAGGAGATGATGATAATGATGATGATTTACATATTGATGATAATTTATTTAGATTAGAAACAACTTCTATCTTCTCCTTTTTTTATAAAAGATGTTTAAAAACGAAAACTGATGTAATTGAAGTAGGCGTGGTCCTGAGAAGGCGGTAAAGATAATGCTTGTGTCTTTGTCGCCAATTTGCACAAATTTCACAATACCCGTATATATTTGTATAACCTAGCAAAGCACCGCCAAAGGAAGGGGAAGAGAGGGGGTAAAAGAAATATAGACAATCTGGATATATTTATCATTATTATGATCTTGAACTAATTTTCATGATGCAGTGTTATTAGCGATATTGAATTTTATGCTTCATAGTGCCAGCTACAGTAAACAAATTAAAAATGTCTTTGGTATTAAGCTTATCTATACTAGTTTATGGGAGGGATAAAACCGTCCTGCAAGGTGACTGGACAGGTGGCTATCTCATCAACTGAGCTCTCAATTAACATAAGAAAAAGAGGATCGTGGGGGACCAATGGTCAACGATTAGGCATTGTTTTCTATATAGAGGGAGCAAGTAGGACAGTGTGGCTTTAAATAGACATGCTGTATAGGATGCATTTTCAACTTATATTATGCAATGCTTGTACTATTCCTTGACTGTGTGATTTCTACGTCTCTGGAACGTCTTCCAAGCTAGGTCGTAAGATAGCCTATCATCACTGCACCCTCCTACATAGCGTCAACACACTCAGACTTCAGGAGATGCTACACGTTAGCAAGGTATGTCCACACTACACAAATCATTGCCCAGTATCATTTGTATGAAGAGAATATATACATGTATGCTCATCAGTTAGATACTAGAAATATTTCATTTCATTTATCATATGTTTAAAGGTAATGCAAAATTTTGGGAAATTTTGAAGATTGGATGGATAGTAATTCTTTAGAATTTTGATATATTTGGATGCCCCTATGGATTTTTTATAAGCACTAGAAAATTTAGCCCCTAAAACAATTCTGCTTTCGAGAAATTGAATAATCAAAAATTTACTGGTGCTCCCGGTAAATTTTGAATACTTCAAATAGCGCCTAAGGCCATTCCATGATAGCTGCGACCATGAAAATCTCAGAATATGTAGTTGTGATATATTATTTCCAAACGGGAATAGCAAATCAGTGGATTGTAGTCAAGAAACATTGTTTTAAGGTTAAAGTAATATCAGTCTCGAGAGGGAGCTATACAACATAAAGAGTTTGTTATCTACAATTTCATCACTTTAGACTTGATTTCAACCTCTTCAACGATTATTGAATATTGTAAAATCGCATATGCTTTATATTACCTTTTAGGAGTATAATTTTATTATTATTATTTTATTTTATTAAGTAAATCGGTGATTATAATGACTGTTTACTTTGACCATTCTATCCTGTATTTCACATTATTTTAACCTTGTATAATATTTCTTTTAATATTCTATATTTACGTAATGAAGAAAATAATGGATTTTTCTAATGTATTTCAAGTAAATAAAATTGTCTCTTAATCTTGAATGTTATTTTCAATGGAAAACAAAATCCTGCTATTTGACAGATAAATCAATTAATTCAAATGTCAATTGTTGCCTACAGAAGGGTTTGAATAGTAGAGCCACGCCAAGCATTCCAAGCAAAGTGAAGAATCTTGGGGACATTGAGCCAGCGATATGCCATGAGAGCCTTCTTAAATGTATCACCAATGAGTTCTACAGACAGCATGAACCCTTTAAAGAGGCACAGGTAAACATATTGCGCTCTTTTTTTCTTTTGATGATAATAATAATAATGTTTTATTTACCCAGGGTAGCCACTTCAGTTATGAAACTGCTCTTCCAGCGGGCCCTGCATAACATAATATGTTATTACTACCCTTCTCCAATCTAATAATGCTGAGCGCCTTGCTAGAAGGCAGAAGGTCTTATTGTTATAAGTCTTTGGTATGACTCGGCTGGGGTTTGAACCCACGACCTCCAGTTCATGAGGCGGGCGCTCTAACTACTGAGCCACCATGCCCGGTAATATAAATAATATATTGATAATATCAATGAATCTGCTTCTGTATAACCAGATACTTTCATGAATTGTGAATGATAGCTGTCTGGCAACGAGAAATGTCAAAATCTGATTTGATGAAGTTTTCACATTGTGCGACTGAGCAATTTGCGGATGCATGGTAGGATTGCATGGACCCTTAAAAAATGTTGGTTTTATAATATTAGGGCAATATTATATTTGTTTTGCTGTTTACATTCTGCAACAAGTTATCTTTTATAATCCATTTTGTTTCCTTAGCCCATAGCAGTTCAGAGTTTCTTATTTACTTTATTAATCAGTTTTCCCTCATCAACAATTAATCTTATTTTCCCCTCCTTCATAATATGAAGAAAAGAAGAAAAAAAAAATCAAAATCAAATTTGTTATTAAGTGAACAAGTGTGTAGAGAATCGCATAATTTAACTGGAAAATTGTCATTTTATATTTTACACCGTGTTGCCAATTTAGAGGCTTTTAATTTAATGGCTCTTATTCGGGAACAGCACATTGTACTGCTTTGGAAACAGACTCAAATTTTCTCTGATTTTTTATCTTTTTGCTTATATATACAGTAATGTGTAATTCCTAGCATTCTGGATTAAAAGATAATAACAAAATGTGACTTCAAGGAAACACTGTATTGCTATGGGTTACAATATTTAATTAATATTTAGTGCTTGTGGTAATTATAATGCTTGTATTACCGGTAGATAGTGTTTGTAGTAGTTATAGTAACCATTCATATTTGTTGTAATGTAGTATGTCTGTCGGAATGTACATCCCTGTTCAGTTGTCTCGCAACCCCTGTATGCCAAGCAGCTGAAATGGGTAAGGGGTTCGGTTTTTTGTTATACTAATATAACAAACAAATGTTCTTGAGCAGTATATTTAAGCCTACAAATTGTTGTGTGGTTAGAAGAAGGGCATATGCGTCCTGCTTAAACCTTTTTCTTTTAATATGGCACTAAAAGAAGAAGGTCGTTAGCATAAAATGCCTGTAACTTCAGGAATATGTTCTTATTTGATACAAAAACTACTCAGAATACATGTACGTTTATGTACATGTAGTAACCCTCCATTTCCACTTTTTTTTAAAAGTCGATAAAGAGAGATAGCTATGTCATTTTGTTGAAATATGGTATGATATGTACCGGTAATAGAAGTGAGTTACTAGGGCTTTCTTTCATAAAACTTATTATCGATAAACTAAAGTTGCAATAACTGTTATAAGCTACTGAAATTGTGGCATTTGATTGGCTGTTAACAAATTTGTCATAGAAATTCAGCATTTGTTAGTGATAACAAGTTTAATGAAACAGGGCCTAGAACTTTGTCTGTACTCGCGCCTTCCTGTCAATCACTCAACAAAATGGTATACTAATACAGTGAAACCTGTCTACAGGGACCACCCAAGGGAAACACAAAAAGTGGCCTTTGTAGACAGGTGGTCTTTGTAGACAGGTTCCTTTAGTACATGATTCAATGAGAAACCATTTTCAAGGGAAACAACAAATGTGGCCTTTGTAGACAGGTGGTCTTTGTAGACAGGTGGTCACTAAAGCAGGTTTGACTGTACAGTGAAACCTGTATATAAAGCCGGCTCAAGCAAAACATTAAAAGTGGTCTTTATAGACAGGTAGTCTTTATGTGCAGGTTCCTTAATAGTACATGTTTTAATGGGAAACCACATTCAAGGGAAAATTGAAAAAGTGTTCTTTTAAAAACAGGTGTTTTTTTTATATAGAGGTGGTCACTAAAGCAGGTTTGACTGTGTATTAAAGTGGACTGTAGTGTGGGTGAATACGATGATGCAATAACTTCCTTACAGAATGTTGATATTGCATCGTGTGCTACTAATACAAAACAGATACATACTCTCCTCAGGACAGAGGCTCTTTCACAAATGACAATTTTAATACCGTATGGGATTTTTCTCTCCGACATTTATTGGCAATTAATGACAACTAATGGGGATGAAAAAGTTAGCTGGTGTAACAATTTAACAAAGGCCCAATGCCTACCCATCATCTGTGTGTTATAAGATATAGAAATATGAATCTTACGAGCTTTTAATGAAAAAAAAGAAAAGATAAACACTGTCTTATGTGGTATGTGAAAAAGCCTTTATTTTCCCCTTTTTTTCTTATTAAATTTATTTATTTATTTATTCATTTATAGCCAAACTTGCTCAAGATCAAATCCAAACCAACTGAATTTTGGCCATTTGTGGTAACGTACCAGTAATTGTTTGTTCGGTCTTGTTGGTGTAATTGAGGTTTTAATGAAAATCAATCATTTCTCTTTTTTGTCAAGTCTGTGTTCCAATCTGTTTTCTCATGCAGGTGTACAAAGTCGACCCAACAGATGAAGAAACTTGGAAAGGAATTCCTGCCATGTCTGAGGATTTAAAGGTGAGTTTAATTCATTCTTTGAGATGAAAAAATGTTGCAGTTACTGTACGATTGATTTTGACCCAATAAAGGGGTGTATGTCCAGCATGGTTGAGTTTTTATTTTCTATCTTGTATGTTCTGAAAGAGTATACTCTTTTTTATGTTATAAGTACTTGGCAAAGCAAAAGTATTCTCATCATATTGCTACTACTATTACTACTAGCACTGATGATGATGATGACGGAGATAGTAGCAGCATTATATGCTTGCAGCAGCAGCAACAACCACAATAACCACAACAAAAATAATAGGAATAAACAGAGTGTTCCTTTTATAGTGCCCCTCCATTTACAATGTAGTTAAGCGAAGTGCTTAGAGTAATGTGATTTCCCTGGTCACTAGATTTGTGCACATTTTCCACTCCTTGGGGAGCAGTCCAGCCAATCGCCTGTTTACAGGCGTGCACAGAGTTTTTGTTTGTTCTTTAGAAATATCTGTTTAATTTAGCTTATATATGTAATTGATTACCATTACCTTTCATGTCTGTACCTTTCCTATGTATTTCATCTATTGCACAAGCTGCGCCTTGTGCATTTGACTGTCAAGTGGATTTGGCGCATTACAAATCTTATGTATTATTATTATTATTATTATTATTATTATTATTATTGCAGAGTTGGGACTGGGTCTATGGCAAGACACCCCGATTCAGCGTGACGGAGACGAGAGGGGCCATCAAAGTCACCGTGCATGTACACCAAGCCACCATAGAGGGTGTTATTGTGGAGGCACCACCAGGCTGGATGCACATTGATAAGGTCCAAACCTTCACTGAGCATATGAAAGGTTAGTCAAGTGTACTTAAAAGAAAGAGAAGTTTGAGATCAGGGGGGCATTTCACAAAACTTTGCCATCAATGGCAACTACCATGGTAACAGGGTTTAACAGCCAATCAAAATCAAGGTTTCCATGGTAAATACCATTCATGGCAAAGTTATCATCAATGGTAAGTTTTGTGCAACAGGGCCCAGTACTCCAATCTATCTTTATCAAAATGTGATTTCACTGCAAGTACCGTACGCAAAACCTTTAACTGTTAAGATAAATACCAGTTATGGTCATGCGATTGCATTGTGAAAGAAACGTTGTGGAATCGATCAGAAAAGGTTGATCATCTAGCATATAAGTATTGGTGTGTACTGCAAGGTTCTGGAATCATCAGAATGATAAGAAATTTGGCCCAGTCTTCGTAAAGTTACAAGCACTGTACACAGGAAGATGTATATGGGACTACGCACACATGCGTGGCACGTGCGTTTATCTCTCACATACCAATAGATAAACTAATTTACCAAATATATCAATTAGTAGGCGGTTTCCCGGCAAAATTGTTATCATCATGTATTAGTCAAAACATATTCTTTCACATGATTGGTAATAAGAGCTTCCATTTCATTTTTTGAAATTGGGGCGTTTCCAATACTGGTCTTTACCTTTAAAGGTAGTACAAAGATTTGGGAAATTTTGAAAATTTGCTTGATAGTGATTCTTTACAATTTTTATACATTTGGATGCCCCTGTGGATGTATTATAAGCACTAGAAAATTTAGCCTCTAAAACACTTCTGCTCTTGAGAAAAATTGAATATCAAAATTTACCAAATTCATGACCTCATACCAAAAATTTGTATTAACTTTAAGACCAGCTCTATTTATTTCTCATCTTTATCACCAGGACAATATTTCTGGTCCGACAACGTCGCTGATGCTTTGTCAGTCTACCTCAGTACCACCGAGAGCGACGCGGAGACGTTGCGACAGTATCGTCTTCTGTCCAGTATGATACGGGATGCAGCAAGCTGACCAAACCAATGAATAAAAAACAATGAGTAATCCCTATGAAGTGTGTGAAATCAGCCTCGTCAGAACGTCTATGCAAACGGTGAAGGTTGCACGACTGCTGTACTAGTGTGAATGGAGTATTTAAAGAGACATGCATGTGTGTATTAATCAATGTCTCATTTCAAACATTTTGGTACAGGGTTGTTTTGCATATGTACAGAAAAGATTATGATGATATTGATGTTAGGTGTCTTTTATACAAGAACACATGTGTCTTTAATAATTGACGACGCAATACTAACAGTTGGTTTACGCACAAATATTTAAAAGATTATTGTATTTATACAGGGCTGAACATTAAAACTATATACTATATTTTTGGGCATAGCCATGGTATTTGGTCATTTGAATAGCTTGTGGGCCAAAATAAAGAGTGCGAATATTGGCTGCTCAGTGCTTTGAGAATGTGCTTGTTTTAACTAACATTTTTTGTGCTTGTAATGTATATCTTTGACTCGAATCGAGCAATATTTTTATGTAGAGTTTCTAACTAAAAGGCAACGTACAGCTTACCTACATGTATAGAGCTTCCACATAACAGGGTATGTAAGTTTTTGTGAAATTGTGAATGCTTGCAATGTATATATTTAGGTTGAGACTCCATTCAAATTTACCTTGCATTCGGGATGAGGCTGAATTGAATTCTATTAAATTCAATCCAATTCAATTCATTTGCAATAGTTTTGTCCGGTAAGAAGCAGAAGGATGTTTGCTCTGTATTAATCTTTTCAAGATAACGCCTTTATGGCTCTCGGCAGAATATAATGTATGGACTGTGGCTGTACCTTGAATTAAATCGCAGTATGAGCAGTTATTTATTCATGAATTAGATAAGAAATATTTTGTGTGAATTGTTATTGGTATCACTATAATGATGGTGCCTCTTGGTTTCTGATGCTATAGCTTGGATATTTTAAAGTACATGTACATGTAAAATGCCAGAAACTGTCTTTTCAACTCTTACCTGCCTATTATAGACGACTATGGCGATACATTTGGAGATTGAATATCCTGTTTGTAGGTGTATATCATCATCATTACAGTCTTCATCCTTTTTGTTTTTTTCATTATCACCATCACCATCATCATCTTCATAATCATTATTATCATTATCATCATTACCGTCATCATTATCATCATCATCTTAATCAATAGTTAATGTCCTCATCATCATCAGCATCTGCTTTGAAATCAGATTCAACAATTTTTCCAAAGTGTCATATTTTTGTGTAAAAAAAAAACGTTTTTGAATCTCAGGTACATTTTATTCCTTATTTTGTGTATATCTTTCTTGTTGTATTACCTTTTAATTACCAATTATTTTTTACCAATTATCATCATTCTGTTCTATTTATCTCTCTTGAGGTAGGCACTAGGTAGTGTGCCATCTAAGCGTAAAAGTTCAAAACTTGATCGTAATTTATGTTGGTAGAGTATTATAATTTTTCTTTCTTCAATTTGATATATAACAATTTTGTACAATTTAGATTGCTCACTTTCTGTGCAGTGTATTTTCTTATTATGATGTAATCGTTTTATAACTGGGATAGTATTGCTGTCTAATATTTTGAAATAAGAGGTTTTAGGGTGATGATAACTGACAATTATAGTCATTTTAATTTTATAATCTACATGTATTCATCTATTATGGAATTATTGATAACAAAGTTTTAAAATGTGTGCTATACAAGAATGTTATTTCCCTAAGGAGTTGCAATGTTATCTTTAATTGTGAGATAAAATAATCATTCGGAGAAATGAAAATATATAATTGGTCACAAACCTCTTAGAGACATAAAATGTCCAAGAGGCATTGCCTTTGATAAATTGGATCATGTATTCTATGCAATTATCAATTTTGCAAGCAGTTTTTTCTCCACAAGTATAATACGAAATTGATTTATAGTAACATAATGCTTGCATTGATTACATGTAATGACACGATCATTGTGATGTATGTATAAACAACTAAATTATTCATACTCTTACCAAGTTTTGTAATAAGTATGCGAAAAACCATTTTTTTTTTTTCCCACTCTTTTTTTTATTTTTTTTTATTTACGTTTCTTGAGACTGTAAAATATTAAAGCTTTACATCGAAAAGTATTCAACAAAAGGCTTAATTCAACCAATTCACCATACATTCTTGAGTTACGAAAATCACAAACACCAAATTTACAAGGGGTATGAATTATTCAGTTGTTATTCTACACGTGTAACGCATCAATTTTCAATATAACTAACAGTCTTACTATTTATTGTATTTATTTAGCAGGGAAATCCTTGCCTAAAAAATTCAAAAATATTGTATTCCCATTCATTCACAAGCTAGGCGATTAGTATGGTGTCTCCAAAGTACTATGTGAGAGGATCAAAATTGAGAATATTGTCCCCTAAGAAATGTTATTCCACTTAGTTTTGTGCAAGAATTTTTATCGGGTCAGTATGTACCGTTAAGGTTTTATACAATCTATTATTTTATAAGTTGAAGATGAATTTACTGTGTCTTTTTATATTTTACCGATGCAGTGTATGTGCTTTTTGATGAAAAGATAGAGAAACTACGCAATCTTTATCTTTTCATACATATAATCATGTTTTATCTATTGTATTCTTGATGTTCTGCCTTCATCTCTTATCAAATTCTCATTTAGATATGACACGATAAACCTCCACAAACAAAAAAAAGAGTTCACATCTTTATTTACATGCTCAGCCAATGACAACTGTGCAACAAAGTTCCTATGCGTATTCAATTAGCTCTGTGTTATAAAATAGGTAATGTGAAGAGTATAAAAACGTGAATAATGCCATCATTGTTTTTTTGCCACGGTTTTGCCTTGTCGTATCTCAACGAACTTTAACTCTTACAGTGCCTAGGTGTTTTTCTAGTTTCAAGATTTTATCAAAACACGAATCATGCTTACTTTTCAAATGTTTGTATTTCTTTAATTATGTTTTATGTCACATAATATCATGTAAAAAAAAGTTGTAGAAAATTAAATTCTCTTTCTAATGATACCAAATATGTCTAATATATTTAATTTCATAAATGACATTTTTTAGAATGTAAATGATTTTTTTTAGTCCTTTACTTTTCTGTTCCTCATACTGTTACCATTGCTTAATGCAATTCAAAATGTGCCTGTAGAAAGTGTAAAATGTTCTCAATTTTTGTTTTATAGTAACTAACATCTACCAATAATGACAAAATGTAGAATGGTTGCTTTATACTTCAAACAGTGATATAATATCACTATAGTATACATACATGTATTCTTTGGTGGAACAGTATGTGATTGAATCAAGCCTGTCTATCGAGGTCACCCAGGGGAACCATTAAAAGTGGCCACTGTAGACAGGCGGCCACACTTAATTAATGCCTTTCTGGCTCTGAACAAACGATATCTGTGTCATAAACACAGTGCGAATTGAACTACGATCGTAAATAAAATATTACTGTGGGTAACTGGGCATTTATAAACTACAATCTTATATACAATAGTACTGTGGGCAACTAATGCACTCATTATTTAAAAAAATTGATGTTAAGAAGGTGTGTAGGACCATGCATACATGTATCTTCTGATGCTTATCACTGTATGCTTTGTATTACAGTGGAAACTCGTTATAACGAGGTCCTTGAGAATATAAAGAGCTGGGACCAGTAAAATCACCATGTTGTAACAGATACCTTGTTATATCAGAGCTCCTTATACCGAGGTTCCACTGTATCTAAACATTTAATTTTCTGTATGTAATCTAACTGCAAATGCATACATGCCAACTGTTCAGATTAAAGAGGAACATTCCTCTTTTTGGGAGAAGATAATTATCATTTTAATGCAGGTGTTCCTCTTCCTGTACAAATGTGTCTGTAGTATTGAATAGGAGAGTTAGGATTGTTCCTCTTTTTTTTTTAAATAGCATAATTTGTACAGATTTCTGATTTTCAAATGTTGGCATGTATGCAAATGTATAGCATTTAATTTGGTGTGCCTCTTTACCTCGATTTCAAAGATATTTATACATTTTAATGTAATGTTTCTTCAAGTGAGAAATAAAAATGGGGAAAGTAATGAATTTCTTTGTAAGTGTCTATGTGTGCCTGTTTTTTGGTAATACCAATGTGTTGTTTCATTCTTTCTCTCAATCTATCTCACAATTTCTTTGTCTATTTTAAATGTATTTCTCTCACTCTCTTTCCCTCTCTCCCTTTCCCTCTCTCCCTTTCCCTCTCTCCCTTTCTCTCTCTCTCTCACACACACACACACTCTCTCTCTCCCTCTCTCTGGCATTTTTATTTCAATATTCAATGACCATTCTATGAGTTTCAAGTATTGTCATCATGGCATCCTCTGATTCTGTGCCTTCTATGTTCTTCTTTTCTAATCAAATGTTCTAATTCCTGTCAACTTTATCAAGTTTTACGAGAGAGGAGAAATGGTCCTGTGAATGCACTTGAATCTTTCTCAGAGATCCTTGCATATAATATACATAAAACATGGGAACAAAATAAATTAGTAGAGATTGTGTGTGAACAATGTCCATTTACATTTATTGAAGTAGATTCCTGATCACTCAATTGAAACCTGATATATATATATCATAAAAAATAACTATAATCATAATATATGAGATTTGTAAGGTGCCAAATCCTCTTGAAAGCGATTGCTCATGGTGCACTTGTGAAATAAACATAAAAAAGGAGATCAAATAAAAGCATCTGCATTATAAACAAAGGAACAGACGTAAGATGGAACGTACAAAAATGACACAACAATTAAATTATATGCGAAATTAAACATACGTTTTAAGATCATTTATAAATGCTTCAACTTCAGCTATTACAAATATCCCAAGGGAGAGCATTCCACAGTAAAGGCCCTGCATGAGCAAAGGTTTCATCCCCCTTCTTCATACTGAGCTTGTTTAAAAAACAAGAAATCCTAAGATTTTTAGAGCGTAAAGATCTGGACGGAATGTAAAGATTTATCAAAGTAATATTGTACTGTGGAGCAGAGCAGTGGAACTATAATAATAATAATAACTCCATAATAAACCAGTAAGTTGCAAGTTCTTAACAAGTTCTGAAATAAAATTGTTCTGAGCCAGGAGGGTTTTAACTTGGTTTCAAATTAATTTATTTGAGTTAACACCCTTCTGGCTCCAAACGGAAAAAATATCCTTGAAAATATTCCCTACTCCTAGCTTGCAGGAGGAATATTGCAAGGGGCACACAGTGGTAAAGATGGCCATAAGGTGGGTGACATGGGGATCTGATGAGGTGTAGTTATGTATCTGGAATCTTCTATGGATATGACAATGTTTGTTTGTTTGATTGCGTGATTTTTTTTCTTCCATCTTCTCTCTATATATCTCCTTCCCTCTCTCTCTGCCTTTTGTATATACCTGTACATTTTCAATTACTAGTACTGATATAATAAGAACTGGTTAAAATGTACTTCATATAAAAAATAATTCATTTTGCGATCATGGCTTTTAACCCAGTCTATTGACTTCCTTCATCATAAATGATCACCTAGATCGTCTTTACTCTCTTCAACAGGATTGGTAGTTACTTCCTTCTTGCCCTGCCATGTTTGCATTGTCTTGCTTAAGCATATGATGAAAAGTTCATTGCCTTCCGTCATTAAACCTTGTCACCTATTACATCTTTGCTCTCGTTAGCGACTTGATCGGTAGTTACGTCCTTCTTGCCTTTCCACTTGGAAAGTGTATTGTCAAGATGTTTGATGAAAAGTTCAGTCTTCAATCACACTTTGTCATCTACTACATCTTTGCTCTCATCAGCGACTTGATCGGTAGTTACGTCCTTCTTGCCTTTCCACTTAGAAAGTGTATTGTCAAGATGTTTGATGAAAAGATCAGTCTACAATCACAACTTTGTCATCTACTATATCTTTGCTCTCATCACCAACCTCATTGGTAGTTATGCGCTTCTTGCCTTTCCACTTGGAAAGAGTCTTGTCCAGACGTTTGATGAAAGGTTTGGTCTTCCATCACACTTTTTCATCTACAGCATCTTTGCTCTCATCAGCGACTTGATCGGTAGTTACGTCCTTCTTGCCTTTCCACTTGGAAAGTGTCTTGTCCAGACGTTTGATGAAAAGTTCAACGTCCTCTCTCGTCATACCGATAGCTGCAGCAGCTGTCAGGTAAGCAGAGGGGTAGTTGTTGGAATGAGAGCCAAAGCCTTGAAAGGGATGACCGTTGATTTCCTTAGAGACGCCTTGTGGAACAACTCTGGAGAAAATAATAAACAAACATATGAATACTTTAATTCCATAAGGAGCTAAATCAATTTTGTAAGGATTGTTTACCAGATTTTGTACAGGCGTCTATGAAAAGGTGATATTAGAAGATGCGTTTTTTCATAATTGCTCCCAAAATTTAGTTAAATAATTTTGTTGAAAGACGTGTACTTTAGTGAACAAAGTTATGATATCAATAACTAAATTTCCATCAAAAGTAGATTTAGCTCCTTTTGGAATTAAGCTCTTAATATATTAAAGTTAATCACACAAAAAAATATCCTGTGCTGCTCCTACAACTTTCAGATATATCCATTCCACAACTACAAAATTCTACAAGGATCACACTTTTTTTTTTGCTGAATAAAAAAAGAATCAGCAGATGCCGGTAAGTAAATATTCAGAGTAGATAATTTTTTTTTTTACTAAGAAACATATAAGACAGCACATTGTGGGTTAATCATGATTGACACGGTCTGCTGTTGGACACACTCTACTGCCAGCAGACAGTTTCAAATATTATCAAACGAATTGGACAAAAGATGATAAATGAAGTACTATCTACTGACCTAGCACCAGATACACATCTAGTAAACAGCATGGATCCAAGCTCTGTCAAAGCCTTCCCATCACCATCTGGTTTGTTTACAGTCATCGCCATGGATATTGGGTTGTGCGGTGTGTGCAGCAATCGTTCACCGTGCTTCTCCGCAACCTTTGCCAGCTCTTCACCGAGAAATTTGAACAGTTCCTTCCTTTCCTGGTAGATAAAGATGAGGAAATGTCAATGCATTTAAAAAAAGTGTCCTGGTATATTGTAGGGATGTTGTAGTCTAGTGGATATGTCATTTTAGTGCCTTAGCAGGACTCCAACCACAAACCATGCGATCCACAGTTCGGCGACATATCCACTAAACCACGACACTTAACACTCTGTTTTACAGTAAGGCTGTTTCAATAGTTCTACATTTCTTGCATTCACTACTTTTAAAGGAGATCAACATAACATACCACTGAAGTATAAGGTGATAATCAAGTTTTGTGAAAGATGGTAAACAATCCTAACAATTTGTCAAAAATAAGATATCTAACCTACTCTTTCAATATCTATTTTTTTTAAATTTTCATGTGTAACTTACTTATCATCTTGTGTATTTCCCAGATCACTCATAAATGATCATTTAAAAAAAAAGGTCCATTCTGATAACATATTTACAAAACATTACAAAGACTTGTCCCCACCTTCAATAGATTCTTGTAACCCTTAGATCCAAGTGAGAGCAGAGTGATGAAGAGATCTATAGAGGGCGACGCAGATGCTCGCCCAGGATACGTCTGCCCGATTCTGTCCATGAACTCTCGATCGAATCCTGCGATGATCGAACCACCGACCGGCACCATGAAGTTCTTGTCCGTACTCTGCACGAAGGCATCCACTCTCCCAATCCTAGACGCTTCTTGTATGAGGTGCATGCACTTGGAAGACTGCACACCATAGGCATTGTTGATCACATGGGGGATGTCCTTCTCCTGACAGATCTTGGCTAGTTCCTCTAGCCTTTCTGGAACCCGTGGTGCGAAGCAACTCGTCGTGGAAAACACAGCAAGGATATCATCGGCTCCTAGCTCGTCGATCTTCGCCGACACAGCTTCGATGTCCGTCCTGAGCTCGTCGCCCTCGAGCTTGTTCTCGATGACAACGGATTCGAAACCCGCCGTGACGATGGCCTTGAAGCAGGACTTTTGGTCGATGCGGGGCCAGAGGATGAAGCGTGCTTTCGGTCTCTGCTGCCTCAGTGTGAGGAAACAGAGGACAAGGCTCATTCCCGTTGCCATGGGTACGACGAAGCACGATGCTGCACTCCGAACTCCTGAAAATATTGAGAGGTGAATGAAATGTTGAGCAGAAGCTATTATAAGACATTTTGCTGTCCACATAAACATAGAGTTATGCCTTATGTTGCAGATGTAAGGTTTTATTTAGCTTTAACAGTATTATGTTAAGTGTTAAGTTAAAGGACAAAATGAATGGAGTGATTAGTGTAATAAAATGACCTTAAAACAATTACTTTAGAATTATGCATCATTTGATTGAAATTAAGGTTAAGAAATAAGATTGATTAATTTAAGATATTGACAGCACATCGATTGCTATAAGTGACTGCTCAGAGCCAGAGAGGGTTAACGAAGGGTTATAATGTTTTTGGGGCCCTCAAAGCAGATGATATCTGGACGATCTGGGTCCTCTTTCATCAAACTTGTTATCTATAACAACTGCTAAATTTCTATGACAAATTTGTTCTCAGCCAATCAGATGCCAGGATTCAGTAGCTTATAACAGTAGCTTGTAACTTGTTATTGGTATCAAGTTCTGAACGATCTGGGCCCTGTTTCACAAAACTTGATACCAATAACAAGTTACAAGCTACCGTTATAAGCTACTGTTATAAGCTACTGAAATCCTGGCATCTGATTGGCTGAGAACAAGTTTGTCATAGAAACTTAGCAGTTGTTCTAGATAACAAGTTTGATGGAACAGGGTCCTGTACCTGTCATACGTAGGACATCAAGAGCCATGGAGTTGGTGAGCTTGGAGAGGATACTGGAGCCAGCAGCCTTGGGTTGTATGGCCGTGATGTCTCCTGATCGCCCTATACCATGAGCTAACCTAGAATAATAATAATAATACTCAGCTTTTATACATGTATAGCGCTTAATACATCTCGGACGTCTCTAAGCGCTTTACAGATATACTATTACCCTTTAGTGCTTGCTCGCACACACTGTGTGCACAATCTCCACTCCCTGGGGAGCATTCCAGCCAGGCGTTACTTGAAGCTCAAAAACAGTTTGACTAACGATGATGGTCGCATCCTACCAGGTACCCATTTAACACCTTGGTGGAGAGTAGCAAGTGTAGGTTAATATCTTGCCAAAGGATATTAGATTACATGGAAAAATTAAACATGAACATGGACTAAAGGTGAATGCAAACCTTGTATTAAAAAGAAACAAATTTGTGAAAAAAATCTGGTCCTTCATTTCAAATTGAAAATGTTAATTTTGTTGAATATCCTTTCCAAATTTCAAAAGGGTAAATGAAAATCTTGCAGCTGAAAATAAACCATGTCTAAAACTAGAGGAAAGAATATTCAGCTACTTGGAAGTGAGGCGAGAGAAAATGTCAATGCAAGAGAGAGAGATTTTTTCCTGCAAAAGGTCATTAAGAAGACAAATAATGATGTACATGGAATAAGAGAGCCAGGGCGATGAAAAAGTGACTGACAGAATCATGCAGATGTACTCACGCACCCATCCCAAGAGCTAAGGTCAGTGATCAGATGTTCTGTGATCCAGACGTTTACAGCTAGCCAAAACAGTTCAAAACGTTTCATTTAGTACCAACTACATATAGTGACCACCTGTATAGAAAGACCACCTGTTCTACAAAGACCACATTTTTTTGTTTCCCTTGAAGACGGTTTCTAATTGAAACATGTACTAAAGGAACCTGTACATAAAGACCACCTGCCTATAAAGACCACTTTTCTTGTCTCCATTGGGTGGTCTTTATAGACGGGTTTCAGTTTCACTGTAGGCCTATCATTATAAAGTCAGTGATCAGATGTTCTATCCAGAGGTTTACAGCCAAAACAGTTTTAAGCCTTAACATTTCAGTTAGTACCAACTCTCATTTGATAAGGCAGAGATATAGTATCCTGTGTGAATACTATCACAAACATACAAGCATGCAATGAGAATCAATCTTACCCATAATGCCTCCTCCTGACGGCATCGGAAGCGACCCGACCTTCCCTCTCTCCTACTCCGCAATTCCCCTGGAAGTTATTACTTTCCATCACAGACAGCTCTCTGAGGAGCATCTCGATGGTCTCCTCGTCCCAGCCGTCCTCTGGCCATTTCCGTTGCTCCAGGAGATGCTTGACCTTGTTCTCCCTGACCCTTCGCGATTCTCGGCCCTGCTGGACGTACGTTGCTGGAATGAGCTTCTCGCACACAGCGTAGGTGTCTGGATTCATGGCGGTGGAACTATAGTGATATTGCCTTTGATAAAATGAAGGTAGAGAACAATTAAAAAATAAGAAAGATATTGAATGTCTAGCTATCAGTTAGGGGAAGTCCAACATTTCATTAAATTTACTTATAAATTTATATCATCTTCACTATGTTTCTATCTTTAAGATTTTGTTCTTCTTGTACATGTGTAACTATAGTCATAGGTTTTGTCTTTTACAACTTGTTGTTATTATTGCTATTTTATTTCCAGTTTGTCAAACTTTTCTAGCGTTAATTGGCTCCAGGAATCCTGAGTGGCCAGGGAGGGGAGGGGAAAAATCTAAAATTACACAATTGGTACAAAAATAAACTGACGAGCCAAACAAAAAAAAGTTTCCCTGGCAAAATTCTTTTACATGATTGGTAATAAGAGCTTTCATTTTATGAGAGGGGGGCGTTTCCAAAACGTACATTGTCATTGACATTAGGCCTAAAATCCTAATTCATTTCATTTTGAAGCACCATTTCCTGATCACTTACATCACACATCATTCACTGAGCACAACTCAGTCATGTCAATCATGTCAACTCAATCAAATCTGGGTTAATTATGCAGAGTGGGTGGATTTGGGGCAATTAAGGGAGATTGAGATCGAGCCCACAAACAATGGAAAAAAGGCCAAAGTTTGTCAAACAGATCTTTATAAATCAGCCAACACAACAAGACACATCACTTGAACTCACAATTGTCACTTTAATTTGTTTATTTTTTTACAAACTTAACTAGAGGTTCAGTCTTAGTATATTAAACAGATTTACATCTTACCCAGTATTAAAGACAAAGTGTGTCTCTTCAAATTTGCTCAATATCTCGGCCTCGGTTCAATGTCGAAATCATTTGATTCTCTCCAAGCCTCCATTGTCCATTGAGAAAAATCAGAATTGTCTAGCCTTTAATCGATGCTTTAGTTTCATTTTGGTTATTCTGTCCTAGGTGACATTGTTATAAATGGAACCACAACTTAAAAAATCGAGCCTTATTCAATCTTCAACATGCAACAATCTTTTATGGGGATTTTATTTGAGAAAACAGCTCATTATTTACTTTCAAATTTGATTAAATTCAGGATTTCATACAAAAATATTTATATGAGTATCTGGAGGAAGCCTAGAAAAACCGGGAATTCCCAACAAAAAACAAAACCCACACAAAACATACGGCACGTGCAAGTACGTACTCTTCCTCTTTCTTGTCGAGCAAAACAAGCTCTCTTGTTCTTTATTTTTGCTTGATTAAGAAATAACTTTTAAGTTTGAATATCACGATCTTGAATCCAGAGGAAGCAAGGAACCCTTTGGCATCATCCTGAACATCGTGTACTGTGCTATTTTTTGGTAAGTCAAATGTTTTTTTAAGACTCTTCGAACTCGAAAAAATGCAGAGTCGGATTCGTGTGCCTGTACGTGACTGTGCGACTATGGACCGGCGTCGGGCGTGGTTATGCGTGGTTAACCCTGGCCATGGCCCTGCCCGGTCGCGGACCTGGCTGACTTGGACTCCGACTTGGAGGGCCAAGGGTTGAGTAATTTGAGTTAGCTTTTTATTTTTAAGATTAAGAAGGCAAAGCCCCCTTCTCTAAATCAAACTAGTAATGTTGAGTACACTATTCATTTGAAAAGAAACTGATCAGAAATGATTGGGACAGCTGGACAGGTACACCGTACAGGTTGATTGAAATTAATAATATAAGAAATTGACTCATTGAATTAACGTTACCCTTTGCCTACTGGAACCAGTATTAAAGCTAGGGATTAGCAATATGAGAATTCAGAAGTCAATGGGTGAAGAAGTGCTAAACTGAAGACTGGCTACAATACTTTAGTCTATACAAAGTGTAATTAGTTCTAGATTGAGAAGCACTGCAATGAGAAATGACGAACAAATTTGGCATGGAAATACATTTGGTCCAAATTGCCTTTCGAGTTTCGATCCAGTTCTAATTCAGTTTCTGGATCTATCTCTGAGGGTCTGTTTGCCATGAAACAAGTTCCAAAGTTGAAACTTTTATCATCTAGATTTACATCTTCATAGATTTACATGTAATAATTGATTGTCTATCTAGTAGACCTACTAGACTGGAATGTTCCTGGCTATCTTACAATGTATATTCGTTATGCTTTCTTGTCATTTCAAAATTTAGTTTTTGTAGGTCATAGTAACTTTAGATCATTGTTATTGTGCAGTAATTTGGAGTTCCATGTTTTTTGTTTGTACGTGTAAACTGTGAGGAAGGTAAGTTTAAAAGTTAAACCCAAATTAAAGTGAATTCAGTGAAGTAATGGAAGTGTAAACTAATAAATAATAACCTCTTGCCAATCTATCACTTCATGTACCAATCATTCAAACCACTGCCAAACTCGCAAATCCTCTCTCCTAAGTCTCCAACTTAAAATCAAAACCGAGCCCTAAATTATTACCCCTCACCCAGTTCAAATTCAGTGCAGCTCTGCATGTGTTTTATTGTACATGTAGCATGCTATCCATTAACCCTATTTAGCCCGGGCTATTTTGAAACTGGGGGGGGGGGGGGGGGCTTCTAAGGCCCCCCCCCCCCTATGATCTCGGCCGTGAAACTTCCGATCGCTGCGAAAATGTGCATACATGTCAAGTGAAGTGTATAGAATACTATGGTAATTTCAATTTTTTGAAAAATTCACTCATTTGCATATTTATGGTAATTTATGCAAATAAGGTCATCAAATTCACATTTTTGCCCATAAATCAGACATTATTCATATTTAAGCTTTCTTTCTCACTACATATATTTGTTAGACCATTTGGAATAATAATACAACGCAAAAATTGAAAAATCAGGGTTATTCCTTATGTTATCTATTGTTTTGATAATTTCTTATGTATTTCTTTGTTTTTTAACTTATGTATTTTATTGTTTTTGTTGTTTTATTTCATTTCCAACTATAATTCAACTATTTTGACCCCAAAATAAACACCTTAACTATAAACAAGACAAAGACCCCGTTCTCACTCACTTCGTTGGAGCGCTCTGGAGCGCTCTAACTAAGACCCGCTCCTCAGGAGCGGTTCTTAGGTGAGTGAGAACGCTCAAAGTGGTCCAGGAAGCGGACTTCTGGACCGCTCCAGAAGTCCACCTTCCGAGGTGGTCTTGAGGAGCGGGTCTTATTAAGAGCGCTCCAGAGCGCTCTAACGTGCAATGTGAACGGAAAGCGTACTTTGAACGGAAGTGAGCTAGTGACCTTCGGTGCGAAACATGTAGTACGGTACATACGGTTTGTATTCCGCGCGCGAAAAAATTGACCCGCCTACCTGAGCTGCCATAGCAACAAGACCACTTTGACTCGTGGAGCGGTTTGAGCCATAAAAACTGCTCGGAGTGTGAACGCTCGCAAACCGTTCCTCAAGACCCGTTCCTCTGGAGCGGTCTAAGTAAGACCACTTTCAAAGTGAGTGAGAACGGGGTCTAAATAACCAATGTTTTATCTCTTTATTTGAAAAATGAGATTTCCATATGTTTTGTACCAAATCACAAAAATGAGCGATTTTCGGGCTGACATGCAAAGACAAAAGGACACGTGACTTTGTAATGGTAGGTCCGAATTTCGAAAAATTTCTTTCAAAAGATGCGCAAGACTCGCAAGAAAAAAAGTCATAAAATTTCAGTGCAGGATTTTCTTGTGTTTAAAAATTATTGCGAAAAATGTCGAGGGGGGGGCTTCTAAAGCCCCCCCCCCCCCCCCCCCCCCCGGGCTAAATAGGGTTAAGTTAATTTTAAAAAATGGAAAGAAAAATGGAGAAAGAAAATCAAAAGTTACTCTCTTCAATTTTGACAGGAAATCCAGTTAATTAAACTGTGTTTTCTCCTCCAATCCTCAGAGTCGATCGCTAAGTTAGGACCGCATCTTGCAGGATGACTAACGGCGACGACAACAAGCCTTCTATCACAACGGAAGATGAATATCAACCCTTCCCGGATCCCCTCATGGGAACTGGCCAAGATGTCACCCCTAATGGCGATGGAGGAGTCCTGAAGGCTATAAGGAAAGAGGGTGACACCACTGAGGAAGATCGCCCATTTAAGGGGGATAAGGTTTTTGTTCATTATGTTGGCAGCCTAACAGACGGGGTCTTGTTTGACTCCAGTCGGTCGAGGAATGAGAAGTTTTCTTTCACACTGGGAAAAGGTTTGTGACATGAAGAATTGAATTTTTATCATCTTGATTTAAATCTATACAGATATATATAATATAGTGAAGAGGTATCATGGTCTTACCGTCTATTGGATTCGTTGCTGGAATGTGAATCACATGGTTCAAGTTTCAAAACCAGCAAGTAGATTTAGAATCTCCACATGGGCAGATAAATGTCCCTGTAAAAAAATTGTAAAACCTACCAAGAGTCTTCTTGAATATAACTGCTCCAGAGGTTCCTCTTAAGACAAGGCTCCACACTTACTTTTTTGGAAGGTGATCCGAATTGAACTTTTCAGAGTCTGTATGCACGAGCACTGTCTTATAATTTGAATTGTTGGGGGTCCAGACTAAGAGTGCCCGTGTGCTCCGAGACACCTGTTAGTATCGAGCCCTGAGTAAGATATTTTGTGGTTTATGCTTATGAATTTTTCTACATAGATATTCCATTTTAAAAATTTGTATCTATTCAATATTTTGATATTATATATATATTTTGTATTTTTGAAGGTGAGGTCATCAAAGCTTGGGACATGGGTGTCGCTACCATGCGGCGAGGAGAGATCGCTGTAATCACATGCAAGCCAGAATATGCTTACGGCAAATCAAGTAAGTGGGGCTGAAACATACACCAAACTTTATTTGTGGATCGATGTATTAGGGAATCCTTCTTCAAGAAGATAATCTGCCTCCTTCAATACTGAAGATTCTTGCAGATGCCGTATATAATCGGCCTGATTGGGGCGTGCAGGTGGACCACTACACCAGCCGGTTTCTACCTACTCTTATACGAATAGTGCAATGGGTTAGAATTGAATTGCTTCCTAAAAATTACAAGTCTGTGTAATAGGTCCAAGATGAACTTGTATAAAAAAATACTATGCAGCCAAAAAAGAGAGCTAATAAGCTACTTTTGTACCTGTCAGAAAATATTGAATACACTCTAACTTGTTGGCAGGATTCTTTTTCTTTTCTTATTTGCTCCCAAAATTGAGGTAAATAATTTTGTTGAAAGACTGGTACTTAAGTGAACAATGTTCTGACATCAATAACTCAATTTTCATTGAAAGTGGATTTAGCTCCTTTTGGAATTGAGCTCTTCAAGTATGCTACTCCCCTTCAAAACCCACTGTGGCTTATCTCAAGTACACTAGAGAAAAGTGTGCCCCCATGGTCTTCTTGAATGCCCCTTTCAAATTTTTGACCCCAAAGCCATCTGAAAAAAAATCACATACCGTATTTGCCGGCGTAAAGGCCACAGTATTTTTGGAAGAGATAATATCAAAAAGTCGGGGTGCGGCCTATGCGGCGAAAGAGTAAAAAAAAAAAAAAAAAAAAAGTCAAAACCAGCACGAATTTGCACATATGGGACTAGATCTACGAACGGTACAATAACTATACATTTCCACACATCTTACCGACAATTTTATCTTGCATTGTTGACATGAAGACGAAAATAAACTTCCAAAAACAACATCTGCCGATAGATCTTGATCTAAGTTCGTGCCAATGCATTGCAAAAGTAAAAGAAGGGCCCATTTAACGGAGCTGCCGCGAAGCATCCAGCACGCGAAGTCGCTATTTTGAATCCATTTCAATACACAAGAGAGAGGCGCAATGTATACATCACAGAAAACTCCTTATGCTAGCATCAGTGCGGCATGGCCGAGCGGTCTTAGGCGGTGATTTTAGTCACATCAACATTTGTACGCAAGAGATCAAATCCCGACTTCGACAATTTTTTTTTAAATGTCAAAATCGGGGGTGCGGCCTATACGGCGCTGCGGCCTTATCGCCGGCAAATACGGTATGCCTTTTTTTTAATGGTGTTTGTCCTTTTTTAGGGGGAATTGTATCCCATATCCCCCTTTAAAATCCTGTACATATGCTGGTATAATGAGAGTGTTGATCTGTCACCAGAATCCATATTCTTTTGTTCTCCTTTCTACTAGGTAAAGCAAAGATTCCTGCCAATTCTACCCTGGTCTTTGAAGTGGAACTCTTTGATTGGAAAGGCGAGGATCTTTCAGAGGATAACGATGAAGGAATCGTACGACGAATTGTGACGGAAGGACAGGAATATGATACTCCTAATGATGAAGCTAAAGTTGAAGGTAAGAAGTTAATAAGATTGTTTTAAATATAGAAATGTTTTGCCATTAAGGGGAATGATTTGTGTAATTAAAACTATTTCAGTTCTTTTCATTTCCTAATGATGAAGCTGGAAGGTAAAAAGGGAATAAGATTGTCTTGAATAAAGAAATCTTTTGCCATCAAAGAGGGAATGTTTTGAGTAGTTGAAACTATTTTAGTGCAAAAAGAAATACAAAAATACAAGACTGTTTCAATTTTGTGTAGCTCTAACATTGTTTTGTGAAATATTTAGAAATATATACCTGTAGTCACTTCCTGCAGAATCTTGAAAAGAAATCTTTTATACTGAAATTACAGACTGTATATCATTTATTGCAAGATTATATGTGAGTGACAAATAACTTTTAGAAAAATATTTTCATGTTATATACATGTAGTTTGAGAAATTGAATTTCTAAATGATTCAAGTGCATTTATCACGTTACAGGCCTCATCTTTTGATGTCATATTAGATCTATTTTATTCAGGATACTACTTGTTTCCAAAGTAAACGTTTTTGGTCCTCACAGTCCTATAAAGTGCATTTAGGTTTTAAAAAAAAGAAGTAAATTAAAGTGTCATGACATAAAATGTCTTCAAATTTAGCCCTGTTGTAAAGTGCTTAACCCTATTTAGCCCGGGGGGGGGGGGCTTGAGAAGCCCCCCCCTCGACATTTTTCGCGATAATTTTTTAACGCAAGAAAATCTTGCACTGAAATTTTGTGACTTTTTTCTTTCGAGTCTTGCGCAACTTTTGAAAGAAATTTTTCGAAAATCGGACCTACCATTACAAAGTCACGTGTCCTTTTGTCTTCGCATGTCAGCCCGAAAATCGCTCATTTTTGTGATTTGTGTACAAAACATATGGAAATCTCATTTTTCAAATAAAGAGGTAAAACATTGGTTATTTGGTCTTGTTTAGATTTTAGGTGTTTATTTTGGGGTCAAAATAGTTGAATTATAGTTGGAAATGAAATAAAACAACAAAAACAATAAAATACATAAGTTAAAAAAACAAAGAAATACATAAGAAATTATCAAAACAATAGATAACATAAGGAATAACCCTGGTTTTTCAAATTTTTGTGTTGTATTATTATTCCAAATGGTCTAACAAATATATGTAGTGAGAAAGAATGCTTAAATATGAATAATGTCTGATTTATGGGCAAAAATGTGAATTTAATGACCTTATTTGCATAAATTACCATAAATATACAAATGGGTGAATTTTTCAAAAAAATTGAAATTACCATAGTATTCTATACACTTCACTTGACATGTATGCAAATTTTCGCGGCGATCGGGCGTTTTACGGCCGAGATCACAGGGGGGGGGGCCTGAGAAGCCCCCCCTGGGCTATGCAGTTTCAAAATAGCCCGGGCTAAATAGGGTTAAGGCTAGTTCAGAACTTCAGATATGGCACAAAAAGCCGGCACTGTTTTTTCTTTTACATGAACTGAATAGCAAATGTTCAAAACAAAGGACTTGCACATATTCGCTAAGCTCTGTGTTATAAGATACACAATACCCTTCAAGTCATCATTAAAAAAAGAATGCGTCAGTTGCATCATGTCTGAAGGAGCCTTTATCTTCTTTACTTGTGAGAAAGATTGTATTAAAAGGATCCAGTAACTTTGTCTCGGATCCTGAAATAAAATCCTGGATTCAGCTCATGCTGCAATGATGATTATAAACCTTTAGGTCAGTCAGGAACCCTGTGACTTTTACAAGTCGATCACCTGTCTGATTATCAAGATATTTATGATTGGAAATCGAAACCAAATTTTGCGTTCGCCAAACGGTTTTCATAACACTACAGTCTATTGGCGAAAACGAGTATGGTAAAACGGGTCACTCAAAGATCTTTTACTTTTTTGAGGCACTTCTTGATCATTTTGAAGTGCAATTTTTTTTGTTGGTTTCAATATTACACCATATCACAGGCACTGATTACACGTAGGGCCGTGCATCTAAGATTTAACATTGTTAAATTCTGTATTTATTAATATTTCATTTTCTAGCACACATCATTGGCCGTTACGATGGAAAGGAGTTTGAAAACAGAGATGTGGAATACACAGTAACAGAAGGTATGTCATCTATCGTTATTCCATTATCTCTTTTAAAGCAGGACCGCACTACTTGTAACTATATAGCCAACAATACCTAACCCGTTGGTCCCCCATGGTCCCCTTTTTCTTATGTGAATGGACAGCTGATTTAATGAGATAACCACCTGCCAGTGACCAAACAGGGAGGTCTAATCCCTCCTGGCCAAACTAGTTCAGATAGGCTTTATTAAATCATTTAGAGAAAGAATTAAAATATTTTTTTAAAGAGAAGGACAAAAAAAACACAAGCTATTCAGCAGGCTGCCCTAGCCCCAGGGATTATTTTGATGTCTTTTGGGTGACATATTGCAGTCCTTTTACAGGGCATTATCATCATCATATGGAGGTCAGTAACTTAAACCTTAAAGAGACCTTTGATTAGTTGAGACTTTGCGCTCTGTATGGGATGCAAGGGACGGGGTAAAAAAACTGATAGAACCTTGGGGGGGGGGGGGGGGGGAGGGGGGGGAGGGGGGGGGGAGGGGGGGGGGGTGGACTATTATTACCCCAGCATTGCCAGATACCCATATTATACACTTGGCTCTAGAGGGATAAATTTAGCTGAAACACGTTGTCCAAGGATGTTAGCACCTAGCACCAGACAAGGCTCGAATCCAAGAACTTTCATATGAGAGTCAAGACCCGACATCAGGATTTTAAAGATTGACGTTAAATTGGACTTAACTATGGCAGGCCGTTCATGCCACTGTTTGCTCTCAAAATTTACTTGCATTGGTCTCTCTCAATGGACGTACAAATCATGATCACAAATCTAGAAAATTAACATTTTTTGATAATTCACTTTTGAAGGAAAAAATATTATCTAAAGATCACAATGGTGAGAGCAAACAGTGGCATGAACAGCATGCTATAGTTAAGTTCAGCTTAAAGTCAATCTTAGTCTTTGTGAAACAATCCCCTGTATACCACAATGCTCACAGATTTTTGCTTTAATATTCAAACTTTCTCATGCAAATTTTATTGATCAGGTAGCGACGCAGGGATCGTTGAGGGGCTGGAGATCGCCATCAAGAGGATGAAGAAAGGAGAGGTGGCAAGGTTAAAGGTCAAATCAAAGTATGCTTACGGGTCACAAGGCAAAGCTGAGTACAACATTCCAGGAAATGCGGATGTCACGTACGAAGTCTTGCTCAAGAATTTTGAAAAGGTAATATTTCTGGTCCTGCTTTATTGGATTCTATTGTTTTTTGTGCACTGATATAGATAAGGTAATTTCATTGTGTCTGAAGGAGTATGTTTTCATGGTGTACCACTGTACTATCCAGGAGTACATGTGTTTCCATTATGTAAAACATGTTGTGTTGTTCACACAATGTATTTTACAGTCCTGATAATTACCCAATTTAAATCAGTTTCCTGATTTATTTATTTTTTTCCCGTTTTTTTCTTCTTTTGCCCCCGATTTATTTTTTATTTTGTTTTCTTCCCGATTTTACCCCGATTTTCCTGAATTTTCCAGATTTGTTCCTAATTTTCTTACTCAAAAGGGGGGGGGGGGGGGAATTTTTCGTTGTTGATTTTTTTTCTTCCCCCAGAATCCTTTTTTTTTTACTCTAGGGCGGGGGGAGTTGAGGAACAAAAAATGATCTATTTTTTTTAGTGCTCACTATCACCCCTGATTTTAAAAATTCAGTTTAAGCATAACCACTGATACAATGTAAGACTCAGGCCCGTCTTATAAAGAGTTGCAATTGATCCAAATCAATCACAAGTCCTCCAATCAATTGCAAGTATAATCTCCTATCTCTGTAGAGGTGTTGTGGTCGAGTGGATACGTTGATGGACTGTCGATCTTAAGGTCCGCGGTTCAAGTCCCGCCGCGGCACTAATGTCCTTTGGCAAGACATTGATCTACATTTGCCACACTCAACCCAGGTGATGTAAATGGGTACCTGGCAGGAATCAATTCCTTGAAATACTAGAGCGCCGTAGTGGTTGCATAGCTAAAGCCAGGCTAGTAATCAGTGCCGCGCCAGGATCGTCACAACGTGACGGACATGTGCGCTATATAAGAAGCCACCATTATTATTATTATTATTATTATAACATAGTTGACATTAATATTAATTGCAAATAAGTTAATTAATCTCAACTCAACAGGGCCCTGGTCACTTGAAACCATATGGCAGTGAAAGGGCCAAGTTTGTTTATGTCCCACAGTGTAGTAGATCATGTCCTTTGGCAAGACACCAATCTGCATTTGCCTCTCTCCACCAAGGTGGAGTAATTAGGTACCTGGTAGGTAGGAATTCCTTGAATGCTTTAGTGTCTTATTATGGCAGCTCAGCTACAGCCTGGGAAATAATATGATACCTTGTATTAAGCGCAGTATAGTATATTCATATAGTAATTGCGCCATTTAAAGCCTGCTGCACTAATTTGGCAAGGAGGGATTAGACCCCATGCATGGTCACTGACAGGTGGGTATCTCATCAAATCAGCTCTCAATTAACATAAGAAAAAGGGGACCATGGGAGACCAACGGGCACCGCTAAGGCATCGTTTGCTATATAGAGGGAGCAAGTAGCTACAATTGAGTAGTTAATTAAGTAGTGCAGGGGGCTTTAAATGGAACTATTATTTTTACAATATACTTTGTACTTAGTGAAAATAAATATGCTGTAATGTCACTAATCAGTCGAATCAAATGAAATCACCACCAACTCAAATTTGATTTGTTTGTTACTCTGTAACTACAGGCCAAGGAGCCATGGGAGATGGACATCGCTGAAAAGCTTGAGCAGTCAGAGGTCGTCAAAGCAAAAGGAACAAATTACTTCAAGGTAAGACAGTGAAAGCTTCTTGTTCAGACAGTTCTGCCTAAACAGGGGTTAATACCCACACAATACTGGACCTAATAGACCTGGGGGGGGGGGGGGGTGTTTCACAAAGACTAAGATCAACATTAAGTTGGAATTAACTATAGCAGGCAATATATGCATCTGGTTGCTCTCTCCATTGGTTGCTTGATTATGACCTTTAGATAATATTTTTTCCTTCAATAATGAATTATCGAAAAATTCTGTAGATTTGTGACCATGATTTGTACGTCTCTTGAGAGACCAATGCCAGTAAATGGTGAGAGCAAACAATAGTTAAGTCCATCATAAAGTCGATCTTAGTCTTTGTGAAACACTCCCCTGTACCAGTACCTAGCACTATCTTAAATAAAAAACTTACAATACAGCTGGATATAATCTTTCATAACATGTAATCTTTCCCATCTTGTTCCATACCAGCAAGGGAGATACCAAGATGCCATCAAGCAATGGAAGAAAATCATCACTTACCTGGACAAGGAGACCATTACGGAGGAGGAGCAGAAGAAGAAGTCCGACGCGATGCAGCTAGCAGCCAACCTGAACGTTGCCATGGCAGCGATCAAGGCCGAGGAGTTTCTTGAGGCTGTCAGTCATTGTGATAAGGTTAGTCCCATGTATTGATTTTCGTGGTGTATTTTTCAATGATGAGCCGCACGCTTTATCCGCTCAAGTAATGAAGAGAAGGACTCAAGTTTGGAGGCTACTTTTCATTTTAGGCTGTAATGGTTCATGTTATGTTCTCGCACCTGTCCGTTTGGGGCTTTATCAGGCACAGAATTGATCAGTTTGTTTGATAGGCTTTTGTGTATAAACATGTATCAATCATACCGGTATATGATTATTTACATATACATAAGGAACCTACCATTAATCATATCTATCTCAATGTTAATACAATCCATAACATGCATGATCACTTGCTTTGTGCTGAAATAAAACTTATTGTACTGGTAACAATAATAATATGTCGTTCTTGTATAGTGATATCAAATTATGATAAAACCTCTCTAAGCGCTTTCAAAGGACTGTAGATATTATTATCTCGGCTTTAGCTGTCTGGTACACTAGCTATGACAAAATTATTAAATGTTACATTTCAGCGAATAGGAGACAGGCTTACAAATACCCCATTTTATTTCTTGGCAGGCCATCGAGTTTGATGCAGTCAGCGTGAAAGGGTACTTCCGTCGTGGGCAGGCCTACTTTCATCTTTAGCTTCTGTCTGGGACACTAGCTATGACAAAATTATTAAATGTTACATTTCAGCGAATAGGAGACAGGCTTACAAATACCCCATTTTATTTCTTGGCAGGCCATCGAGTTTGATGCAGTCAGCGTGAAAGGGTACTTCCGTCGTGGGCAGGCCTACTATCATCTAACCGAGTACGAGAAGGGCAAGGTAGACTTCCTCAAAGTCCTGGAGATAGAACCCGAGAACAAGGCGGCCAAGAACCAGCTGACACTTAGCAACCAGAAGCTCAAACAGCATCTTGAGAAGGAGAAGAAGATCTATGGAAACATGTTTGAACGGTTCGCTGACCAGGATAGGAGAGTAAGTAGTTACAAAATGGTTAAGGCTCGCTCAGATATGGCGCGGGAAACTGCCGCTAGAAACCCACTGTTTTTGTATACTTTGAAATGAATGATTAATGCACACACCAAAGGGACTTTCACATATTAATGATGTCATTAAATCTGTCACCATCAACATCATCATTATCAATGTTATTGTCACCATCATCTTCATCAACATCAGCATCACCATTAACATCACCATCATCATCAACATCACCGTCATCGCCATCATCATCATCATTTATCACCATCATCATCATTGTAATTGTCACCATCATCATCATTATCAACATCACCACCATCATCATCAACAACATTACCATCACCATCAACATCATCATCATCATCAACATCACCACCATCATCATCAACAACATTACCATCACCATCAACATCATCATCATCATCATCATCATCACCACCATCATCATCAACAACATTACCATCACCATCAACATCATCATCATCATCAACATCACCACCATCATCATCAACAACATTACCATCACCATCAGCATCACCATCAACATCACCATCATCATCAACATCACCGTCATCGCCATCATCATCATCATTTATCACCATCATCATCATTGTAATTGTCACCATCATAATCATCATCAACATCACCACCATCATCACCAACAACATTACCATCACCATCAACATCATCATCATCATCATTTAACATCCATCATTTATCACTATCATTACCATCATTGAAATCATTGTATAAATTGTCACCATCATCATCTTCATCAACATCATAATCATTATCATCAACATCACCATCATCATCAACAGCACAACCATCATCATTATCATCATCTAAAATCCATTTATCCATGCTGTGGGAGTGGACGTTTCATTTCATTAATGGCCCTTCTCCACACCCTCCAATCTGTAGCATACACTTGGATCAGGCCAGACCCACTCATACTTCCATCTATCATCATTTTGTTATAATACTGAGGGGTACATTAATTATATGACAAGGGGGAGTGTTTCACAAAGATCCTAAGTTAAACTCTAAGTTGGACTTAAAAATTATGGAGAGCCAAAAGCGAAAATTCAAGTATTTAGACTTTCTATAAATTCCACATCAAGAACATGATATCTCCTTGATTATAATAGAAAATATGAATGATTTGAATCAACGATTTTATGCCTTTTAAGATAACTTGTACAAAATATTTTGATAGATGCTAACGGCTTCCCATAATCGTAGAGTCCAACTTAAAGGTGAGTTCAACTTAGGATCTTTGTGAAACACCCCCAAGCATATATTTAACTTCTTTATCTTTTATTTCTTTTGTTCTCCTCCTTAGGAAAAGCTTGCTAGGGAAAGGGCAAGGGGAGACTTAGAGGTGGGCGTGTTCAGTGATGGAGAAAAGAAGACGACTGGATCAGAGGAGGAGAATGAAGGCTCCAAAGAAGGTGGAGAACAGATAGAGGAGGAAGCAAAGGAGAGTTTACCAGCAGAGGCCGAAGTGAAGGAAGAATCAAAGGAACCTAAGGAGAGTTTACCAGCAGAGGCCGGAGTGAAGGAAGAATCGAAGGAACCTAAGGAGAGTTTACCAGCAGAGGATTGAGGGAAGGAAGAATCAATGAAAGCATGATACATGTGTGTGACAGGGTTAGGGAGACTGGTACAAAGAACTCTTCTCTTTTGCTTATTCCCAATATGTTTTTGCAGGAATGAAACTCAAGACATGATCAAACGGGTATTTTTGATAGGGAGACTCATAGCTATTTGAGAGAAATAGTTACCTCACTGGAAGTTGCTTCTCATTGGTCAGGCAGTTTATGAAGCTCCAAAATAGTTCCCTCCCATAGAGATTGTACATGGGAGAGGACTACATGTTTTTGGAGCTCCATGAATTAACCGATGACCCATCTTGCGTACATGTACATGTAGATGTGCTCGTCACCAACTATCTCTCTCAATAGAGTAGTGAAGTAAGACGTCATCAAAAATCTATTTTTAGAATTTCTCAATTTTTCTTCATTTTCTGAAAGAGCATCAAAAATAATGTCCGATGTCGAAAACCAATTGAATATATTAAGTATTGGCTGAGATATGACCATCTGGATAAATATATGTCCTATGGGAACTCAGTATTATAGTGCTCTGGTAACATATTCAATTGGTTTTCGACATTCGGACATTATTTTTGATGTTCTTTTGGAAAATGAAGAAAAAATTGAGAAATTCTAAATATAGATTGTTATGATGTCACAGCTTCGGTACTCTATATGCTATGGGAAGACTGATTGATACTCGCACACCTGCACTGAATTTTGCGCAACCAAATTGTCTCCAAAATATAGTCACAGTTGTATGTTCATATTGTTTTGTGACAGGAAGACTGGTTAGTGAACCTTACTCATGTACTTGTGCTCAGTATGGCATTGCAGAAAAGAACTTCAAGATTTGATCAGAGTGGTATATTCTTTCTTGGTAGGGAGACTGGTTACATAACACTTGTAATGTAGTCATTCTGAATATGGGATGGCAGAAATGAAGTGAAAGATGGGATCGGAATGGTACATTAGGTAGTTTTATTTGTTAGATAGATATGAAGAGTTGATAGCTTCTAGCAAACCTATCAAAAGGGAAATTCTAAAATTGAGCTTAGGATACGACAGTCATTCTATTACTTAATTTTTCCTACGAGTATCATTAATTAAGTTGAATCATAAATGAAGTGTTCCTGAATAAATATAAAGCCCATTACACATTTCAACCAGACTAGGATCCCATTTTGGAAGAATTTGCAATAGCAATCAACATCCTGATAATCGAGGTTTCTAAAATAACAATTCCAGGGGACAGCAAGCTTTTTTAAAGGAGGAAAATTCACATAGGTTCTGAATCGTAGCAACGCTATTTTAGTTGTGCGGTCATGTCTGATTTGAAGCAGATTTGGCTTTGACACCGACTAGAAGGCTTGAATAGGCTAATATTTCAATTGATCAGGAAGATGATATATGTTTAAATTTCCATTTTAAATGCAGCTGCAATTTCTTTGAAAATTGGATCGTGTAGTTTGCGTGTAATTAATGAGTAATTGTACTATTTCATGTATAATGTTGTCCCAATATTGTCAAATTTGTCAGTTTCCCACTTAGGAAAATTCAAGCAAAATTGCTGTTCTTTGGTTTGTAGGTTTTTATGGTAATGACAGTACGATGGGGCAAGACCGTAGCGTATTGAGAGACATAGTTGTGACATGGGTACATAAGTGTACGCAAGCACAGCCAGAGGTTCAGTCATGGAGCTCTAAATACGTACAATATCTATGGAGGTAACTACAGTCAAACCTGTCTACAGCGACCGCCCAAGGGAAACACAAAAAGTGGTCTTTGTAGACAGGTGGTCATTAAAGCAGGTTTGACTGTACATGTATTTGGAACTTCATGAAATTGACCAATCAGAAGCAATTTCCGGTGATGTAACTATCTCTCTAAGGTAGCTATGAGCAAGACCAACAGATGTTATCCTATTAGGGACTGCTTGAAAAGGAACTTGTTCTCAAAAAGAATTAAAGTTTAAGTAGAAATGAAAGACATAAAGGAATTTCTGCAATTCTTATTCATTCCAGCTTGGCCCACAATTTTGTATTTACATAGCTAACTTTTAATTAATAACGATTGTCTTGTTTTTACTTGTATTTTAGCTGGACTGAATTACCACTTAAGTTTTGATATCACTTCCATTTTTGTTCTTCTCAATAATTGTTGTGTACAAACTGTGACAATGGAAATGTCTAGGAAAACTGAATTATGAATGAATGAACAATTTACTCTAAAATCTATATCTGTTGAACATGAGTCCATAGTATATCTGTAAAGCGCTTACCGGTAGAGACATTTGTATTAAGCGCTTAATAAAAGCGGAATATTATTATTATTTCAGTTTGCATGCTTCCTAATTGGTTATGTGCCCCTCACCAATCAGTGCGGATGAAATATTGTTATGTAGATATTGGTATTGTTATCAAATCATGATGTATAATTCAGAATACCTGTTAGAAAAGCAGAATAAATCGTCAGGAAGATTAATGATAGTTTCCTCTCTTTCATTGTGTTGATATGTACATGATAGAATATACACTTTTATTATACTACTCACTTTTAGATCCGAATCAAATGATTGGTCAATCGCTGTCACAAATGATCTATTTACTGAGTCCATCCCATGTTTTTTACATGACAAAGCATGCAATAGTATCCAGTACTATCCAACAGGGGCCCGTTCCTAGAAACCGTCATAAGTCTAACTTCTTGACTATCCCAATTGAAACGCGTGTTAATTCTATAACACACGTTTCAATGGGATAGTCAAGAAGTTAGACTTATGACGGTTTCTTGGAACGCTGCACAGAGCACTGGATATATATGCTTGTTGTTATTAATGTATAAACTACAATCATTAGAATTAAGTATGCATACACTATTTGTTGCTGTGTTAGACAAGCCTAGGGCAAGCTTACAGGTTGTTGAGAACACCTTTGTTTAAAAAAAGCATACAATTTTGATATAACTTCTTTCAGACTAATGGGGCGTAACATTGCAAATTTATGGGCAATCAATTGCAAATCCCCAAAATTAAGCGCAAGTCTTGCGATTAATTGCGAATTTGCAATTGATCGCAAGGCAACTTTCTTGCAACCCCCTTTACAGAGCTGCCAACCATTCCATTTTTGCCGGAATTACTCTGTTTTTTCCTCCAAATTATGGTATTACGTTTTTTCTTCATAAAATACTTTTTTTAAATTTTTTTTACATACCGCACGTCAAACAACTGCCCTAAAATGGTGATTTGATCAAAAATTCAATAGAAAACTAAATTTAAAACATACTTGAAAAGAAATATATTCTCAAAAAGAATGAAATGCTGATAATACCAAAATAACCACCAAACAAAGTTTCTGCTTGTATGGAAAAAACAGCATGATGAATGAACATTTCTGCATTGGAAGTGTGTTGCGCGTGGTTGTAAGTTTCGTTTTTATGAATTCCTTTTTTTTGCTTGAAATTCCTTTTTTTGCCATCATGATTCCTTTTTTTGGTCGCACAAGGTTGGCAGCTCTGCCATTAGTAAGAGAGAGAGAGAGAGAGGGGGGGGGGGGAGTATAAAAGCGAGATCTAGTTAACTTGATTTCATTGTTAAAACTTTAATCCTATCAAAATCCTAGGAAATTTAGGAGACTAGTGCGCCGTTGCAAGAAAGTTGAGCTGCAATCAATTGCAAATATAAGTTGCAAATTTTGCAACTTGCAATCAATCGTAACTTTCTTGTAACGCCCCAGAAGTTTGTCCAGTGCCCCCACATGTGCAAATTTGACAAAACAAGGCACCAATTGATGGAGGGTTTGCCATGTGCAACACAGGGGCTTTGCAGAATTACTTGTGTAATTGTCGCCTAGATCCAGGGGGGTGTTTCACAAAGATCCTAAGTTGAACTTATCTCTAAGTTGGACTTAACAATTATGGAAAGCCATTAGCATCTTTAAAAATGTTTTGTAAAAGTTCATTTTAAATGCATACAATTTTGACTCAAATCATTCATATTTTCTATCATCAAGGAGATTTCATGTTCTTGATGTGGAATTTATAAAAAAAGTCTAAAATACTTGAATTTCTGCTTTTGAATATATTTCATTTTAAGGCTCCAATGGCTGTCCATAATTTTTAAGTCCAACTTAGAGGTAAGTTCAACTTAGGATCTTTGTGAAACACCCCCCTGGACTGTCTGAAGAATCCTCTGAACACCGGTAATAATTAATTTTCCACTGAAAAAAGTAAAACAGTCTTGCATGAACCCTTGGTAGGCCTATATTTATCCCATGATACATGATGTATGCATCGAATCTAATTAATTACAAAAATGGTCTGTTGTGGGGGTGATTGAGGATGTGTCCATGGCATTAGAGATATTGGTAGCAGGATATAAAAATAGATATGTCACGGTAGGGATGGCAATTTTGGTGATAAATACTTGATGAGATCCCAGAATGATGGTTGCTGATTATAATCAGTTTTATTCGTGAGAAAAGTGATAATATTGGTATTAATGATAGTGATGGCAGGTTACCTGATAGCTCACGAAGAAAATCATCCTCGATATGAATCCTGACCCAGTTTCGCACTCATCTGTTTTGGCGACCAGAAGGGCATTATTTCATATCATTTTGCACAGAGTTAACGACCTTCTGCATGGCTCCAAACAGACCAAACTAAAAACTTAACTTTTACATGGGGAATGCATTGCGAACATTTTTGACTTTCTGAATTTCGAATCTTCCGAGCAGGGACGTATCCAGGATTTCGTACCTGAGGGTCACAAAAATGTCATTAAATTTGGGGGGCCTTTGTCAAATTATCCCATTCACCCATTGCGAATAATTGTAGTTCAATAGTCAGAATGCGAATTGCATACATTCAGTGTTGCTAGGTAGGGCAAGTCATAATGTTTGACCTACCTAGCAAGAATAATGTCTTAAATAAGCATTCTGACTATTGAAATACAATTATTTGTAACAGGTTAATGAAATAAATTGTAACAAGGCACAATAACAAAGATGTATGCATAAAATTCAATTAATTACAAAAATGGTCTATTGTGGAGATGATCGAGGATGCGTGTCAGTGTCATTAGGGATATTGGTAGCAGGAGATGATACTAAACATGTCACGGTAGTGATGGCAATGTTGGTGATAAATACTTGATGAGATCCAAGAATGATGGTTGCTGATTATAATCAGTTTTATTCGTGAGGAAAGTGATAATATTGGTATTATGATAGTGATGGCAAGTTAGCTGATAGCTAGCTCACGCGTAAAATCATCCTCGGAATATGAAACCTAACTCATATTCGCATATTCGCATGCATCTGTTTTGGCG